AAGAAATAATTTTAAAAAGAAAAAAAAACTTAACTATTCTTTTCAATAAATCTTTAAACAAGCTAAAGTTTCAGTTTTGGTACAGGGTGTCCCAAGAAACATGGGAATTCAGTGACGAATTCAATATCGTCTTTTTAAATAATTCTTTGATTTAGTATAGTGATACCTGCTGAGAAAGCTGTAATCTGTAAGAGTTTCGTCTGCTATGTTCACATTTTGTTTGTTTATGTTTTGACTGCATACGGTTTTACTTAGTAAAACAAGAAAACTGCAGTATACAAACAGAGTAAACTTGTCCGTCTTCACTGTTCATCTGGTTTTGAAATTAGGTATTACAATGCTAATTCATTACAAAGACGATAAAGCCATAATATAATTATATTTGCTAGAGTTTATTTTATGAAAAGGGTAAAAGACTGTAAAGATGTGTCTATAATGTCTCAGCAAGATGAACAGCGAAGTTTACTCTGTTTGTATATTGCAATTTTCTTGTTTTACTAAGTACAACCGTAGGCAGTCAAAACATAAACAAATTGTGAACATAGCAGACGAAACTCTTACAGATTACAGCTTTCTCAGTAGGTATCACCATACTAAATCAATGAATTATTTTAAAAGACGATATCGAATTCGTCACTGAATTCCCATGTTTATTGGGACACCCTTTACATTAAAATACCAGAAACAAGACGACTTTCTTTCCACTAGTTTCTGGTTCCAAGTAGACACACACCACGTCAAACCAGAGTAAAAGACAGGAAGGATTAAAATCTTGTTTATTGTCAATTAGAACTCCTTCTATTGAAGAGATATTAAAAAGAATAAAAATGTTCTGAATTTCTAAAATGTATCCGTAAAAATTTGTCTTTCTCAAACTCGTAAAATCAACATCAAAGGAACAACAAGGCAGTGGCGTATTCAGGGAGGGGGGCAGTAGTCCTCTTTCCCCCCCCCCCTGGAAAATACAAAATTAAAAGGAAACTACGTTTAAAAAGTAACACCTGACAATGACAAAGACTAAGGATTTGTCTAAATTCACTGTTAATACAAAATTTTAAGATACTTAAAACTAAATTATATAAATGTCGCCTTACTTAGCAGACTTAACGAACTTGCACTTATGGCCTTACACCCTACAAGGCTGTCTGAGCTCTCTACTGAGAAAATCATTGAAATGTTTTGCAAGCAAATCCCAGAAAATTGAAGCTTAAAAGAGTTGGTGAATATGTAGATGGAATGAATTCGGCATCTTTCGAAAACATTTTTAAAAAGCTTGGAAACTTTGAAAGATCTCTTAACGTTCAACTTGACATTCTCAAAATTTGCTCATTACAGTATTTACCATCAAGCTCTCTTCTTAAGATGTGGAATGACCTGCCTCTTGACTTAAAAAGAAGCAACTCTCTAAGTATATTTAAAAATAGACTACTAAATTCTCTTTTTGAAAATTATAGGACAATNATCAAAGGTTTACACCAAAAGGTTGCAACGATATCGGGATTAGACTCGATTTCTTTTTAGTTTTATTCGTGGGTTTAATGCCTTACCAAGATATTAAACTGCTGCCATCGTTTAGCAAAATTAATCTTGTTCTCTGTACTCTCCGGGTTCCCAATATGTACAAAGGTAAGATCCTGGAGTACCAGGCCTATGTACGGTATACAAGGAGGAACTGCCTCGGCTAGGGCAGATCTAAACAAAATAATAAAATATTCCGATACGAGTTTGGTTTCTATAATTTGGATTCAATCACGTTTTGATCTTTAATTCAACAATCTTAGAACTGACGGAGTTGTCTTGTTATAACTTTTCATTTAAAACGCATCCACCGATGTAAATGAAAAGAAGAAGAAAAAAGAAAAATATAAAAGGTCGAATTAGGTTCTAGTCGTGACTTTTCAGCCTGATAAATGTCTTTAAGATGAGAAACTAGCTTAAAGAGACTGTAAGCTTAATTTCAAGTGAACCTTAATGTAAAGATGGCAATGGCACCGTTGTGAATCGAGCATTGCCATCTTTGTATGAAGGGTCACTTGAAATTACGCTTAGCTTCCAGTCCCTTGAAGTTGTATTGTTAAACCACACTACGACTAGTGTGTAGCTAAATCAACTGTTAAACTTCCTTCTGCAGGCTCTCAAGAACATCTTTAAGAAGTTTCCAAAAATAACAAAAAAAAATGTGTTTTATGTGTTCGTTTCAAATAGATAAACAATGCCTTTAAATCATTTTAGCAATCGAGTTAATTCAAGATTATAATAAGGAGCTATGGAGGGACAATAATCATAAAAATATCCTGAATGTACATTTAACAGTTATACATAGATATATATATATATATACATACCNTTGGATTCATCATGCGACGTTGATAGATGAAAATTGAATATTTTTACTCAATCAAAATCAAATGAGTGTTAAAAATATCAAGAAAGGTTTTAGAATTACGTATGATCTTAGATCTATATTAATATTTATATATTATACATTGTCTAGTTTAGTAATTAGTACTCATATCATCATGTGAAAAATTATAGATAATGCGTTTAAAACAGGTTTAACATTTTCTTAGAGACTTTAACGGAGTTAATAAAGATGGGGTGGGGGGGGATTAAATTTAGTAATGATCAAAACATTTAAACCCTGCATTGATTTTTTTTGGGATAGGGGTTGAAATATTGCCGTTTTAGTTCAAAATTTATAAAAGTTTAATATATTGTGTAAATAAATTTTGACATTATACATTTAACAATTATTAACACTCTAAGGTATTTCTAGTTGAATATCACACATAATTAATCTAACTTTTCCTTCTTGAGCTTTGCAATACATCCAACAAAATAGAATTCAGAACTCGGAACTTTTGAATGTAATAGCGCTTATCTTTCAGACCTGAACTGGATATCAAGAGCGGAAACTTTTAATTTGAAGAGGTTAAATAACTCTCTAATTAACCGAGAGCATTTTTGGCCTCTAATTGGTCAGACCTTTAAAGATAAACTATAAGGAATCTTTGGACTTCAATATATTAGGATTAACGCTTTCGGAAAGGGTTAATCATCCATAAGTTCTGACTTCAGAGATCTCAGTTCTTCTAATTTTTACTCTTTAAACAATTCAATGTTTAGAATAATTCTCTTTTAAAAGATTACTATAAATCTATCCTCTGAACATTTCTAAGAGATCTTTTTTATCTTTTGTTATTTTAATTTATTCTTGATTATTTCTTTGTGCATGTTTTATCTCCTTCCAACCCCAATACTTCTTTAATAAAGGGATCGTTCCCATATTTACACATAATATTCCAGTTTTTGTAAATAGCAATACAACTAAGATAGTATTTTGCTTGGAACCTAAAACCAGTTTTTTTAAATTCTATAAACTTTAAATGTTCGTCATTTATCTTGTAAAATAAAAAACAGGTATTCGTTTTAAAATGGTTCCAATTTTTAAAACTTTTGTTGAAATATTAGAAAATCTATTGTACATAAAATATTCCTAAAAATTATAACTTTAAGAGGATTTTAGGCCTCCGGGCATATTTATATTCATAACTCCAAGAACTGTGGTCAGTGATAACCACCTTAATCTCTGGAATAGGAAGACAACTTCTAGACTCAAGTTATGGCTTTAAATAGTCAAATAAACATAAGACACAGACATTTATCAGTTTAAACGTACCTACACTATTTCATTTAATAAATGATTTATTTGATAAGTATCTAATAAAACTATTTGCTAGTATCTAGTATTGCTATAATGTCGTCTTCCTATTCCATTGTTTTCTGGTTCTCACTGTATATTATGTGTATTTTCAAATAGGTGAGTATTCCCTTTACCCCCCCTTCCTATCTCTGATTATGATTAGTGCTTTCTAATCCTGATCCTGGGTCATCTAACCTTGTTAACCTGACCTCTAGGTTTAATACTCTCACTGATACTCCACATCTCATCCTCTGTCAGGAAATCATCAAATTCTCCGAAGAATTGAATTATCTCCTCGTGTCGTGTCAGGTGATATTGGACCTTCTTAAACCGTCGCATATTATCCTAAATATTGATAATTTCTTAAACCGTCGCATATTATCCTAAATATTGATAATTTCATGATCATTATTAAATGTTAAGAATTTTATTAGGATCTTATTCGAATGTTAGTTAGAATTGAACCGGAGAGAATTCCATTATTTTAAATTTCAAATTTTTTCGAAATCATTGAAAATTATTACAAGATCATTTTAAGATGGAAGAAATATCTTTTTCTTCAAGTTTGCCAGTCGGGAAATGAAATCTAAAAATTATTTCAAAGAAATCCAAGTTTTAAGTAAAGAAACTGAGTTTTTGCAACAAAATCCGATTTTTTAATCCTTCCATCTTTGCCACCCGATGTTGAAAACCTTTGATATTTCAAGCGATGAAGTCAGTCTAAGTTTGAAATATCAAAGGTTTACACCAAAAGGTTGCAACGATATCGGGATTAGACTCGATTTCTTTTTAGTTTTATTCGTGGGTTTAATGCCTTACCAAGATATTAAACTGCTGCCATCGTTTAGCAAAATTAATCTTGTTCTCTGTACTCTCCGGGTTCCCAATATGTACAAAGGTAAGATCCTGGAGTACCAGGCCTATGTACGGTATACAAGGAGGAACTGCCTCGGCTAGGGCAGATCTAAACAAAATAATAAAATATTCCGATACGAGTTTGGTTTCTATAATTTGGATTCAATCACGTTTTGATCTTTAATTCAACAATCTTAGAACTGACGGAGTTGTCTTGTTATAACTTTTCATTTAAAACGCATCCACCGATGTAAATGAAAAGAAGAAGAAAAAAGAAAAATATAAAAGGTCGAATTAGGATCGAAAGCCACTGAAATGTTAATTCTGCTTGAGTTGACTGTTGAGATTTTTATACGAACTTCACAAAAAAATATCGTCCTTTAATTTACTTCCCACAGAGTATGTAACTGGGCATCCAGGGTGGTTCGCGCCCATCGAATTTTCGATTAGTTTTCGTGGATTTTGAAAAATCTAAATTTGTTTAAAGCAAAATATTTAAGTTCTGACCATCCAAAACCTTCTTTGGGGTCATGTGACTTTTTTTATCTAAGCAGGTAGATACATAGTTGAGAAGCGTATGTTGCGTAAATATATAAATATAGAAGTGTAAAAATATAAAAAACAAAATTTTAGAAAAATTAAATAAGATCTAACAAAAAAATATTATTTTCTTTTTTGAAGTCAAAGTTATAATTTGTTATCATTTACCGCAGATTTCTACTCTACATTTTTGCGGATTTTTTGTTATATTTCTTTCAATTTTTAATGAAATTTTATGGAATTTTGGAAAACATTAGTATAAACATTTTCCCAACAATTTTTTAAATTTAATTTAACAAAAAATTTGGTTCAGTGGATTTTTTTTAATGGTCCAAAAGTATTTTAGATTTTTTATCACGTTTTATTTAAAACAAAACAAAAGTTTTCAAATTTTTGTCCAAAACATGAATAATCCCGTTTTTTACTCACCCTGTATATATACATATATATGAAAACTGAGAAGCTGCTCTGATTATTGCTTTATAGTTATATATATTTATATGAGGATATAAATTTTTTTTTTTGATATAATTTTTTGTAGATACTCAGGGGTGGCCGGGGGTGTTATAGGCTAAAAAAATTTAAAATATTTTTAAAATTTATTTTTAACATTTTTTTCACGGCCCTCCAGCTAGTAGATAATAAGTTTAATTTTATTGAAACAGTTTTTGAAAAAAAGATTATTCATTTTGAGTTTTAGAGATTCGTTTTCAAATTTATACAGAATTTTTTTCTAAAAATCATTTTTTTTTGGTTTGTTCATGTATTTTTCAATTATTCTAAAACCACCATGATTAAGTGAAATATAATTATTATCATTTTTTAATCTGAAATAATAGTTTTTATTCGTGTTTTTCTGCCTGATGAATTACCTAGTCTCCGAATAGGGGCAGAGTCTAGCGCTGAGAGCAAAGCAAGATATGAGTTGAAATTATTCATCTTTCTTAACCATTTCATCATCTTGATAAACTTCATCACGTATCTCTCTCTCTCCTAAACGATCATTTTTCTTCATTGTTATCTTTCAATTTTTTAATTTTCTTATTTCATGATTTTTTGTATTTGAAAAAGTAGCAAAATGTAAAAATACATATTTTCAAAGTGTGAGACCTACATACATATTCAAAGTGTGAGACCTACATACATATTTTCAAAGTGTGAGACCTACATACATATTCAAAGTGTGATACCTACATACATATTCAAAGTGTGAGACCTACATACATATTCAAAGTGTGAGACCTACATACATATTCAAAGTGTGAGACCTACATACATATTCAAAGTGTGAGACCTACATACATATTTTCAAAGTGTGAGACCTACATACATATTCAAAGTGTGAGACCTACATACATATTCAAAGTGTGAGAACTACATACATATTCAAAGTGTGAGAACTACATACATATTCAAAGTGTGAGACCTACATACATATTTTCAAAGTGTGAGACCTACATACATATTTTCAAAGTGTGAGATCTACATACATATTCAAAGGACATAATCAAAAGGTAAAAACGTTTGTGAAAATCTGGTACGACTCTGTGTCCCCCATAGTTCTTATAGTTTTAGTTGAATATTAGAAATTCTAGATTTAATATAACATTCAAAATCTGTAAAGAATAAAAGTTCTTACCCTGGCATCTGGTTGGTTTAGGATAAGTGTTCGGGTCCAGTACGACATGTTGTTAAAGTGTTCAGTGAACTTTGTTAGGTTTGGAGATTTTTCCTCAGCTTGCTCCTGAACCCAGTTCAGCAGCTCCGCAGAATCTATCCTCAGGAATAGGTTTGAGTCTGAAAAAAAGGTAATTTTCATCAAATCCAAGTTGGAATATAAAATTGTTTAAACATTGTTTACCTAGTAAAGTCATCTGTTCTGCCAAATCTGAGGATTTAAAGTTTAGAAGAGTACATCTTCGATTGATCGAATTCATTGAGGCTAGATCGAAATCAGGAAGAAGCCTAGTTCTTCTCTCTTCGAACTTGAGAATAAACTGGGATCGAAGAGCCCGGGCTAGTCCCAGGTTTCCGTTCTCAATCAGACTAGTGATAAACTGGGTTAGTTTCTCCAGTAGAACTTTATCCTGGAAATCTACGTCAGCCAACCCGTCCACAACACGGACTAGAAGAGAAAACGCAGCTCGAGATGCACGTCTAAAGGTTGAATCCGTTCTCTCCGCAGTTTTAGATTTATCTCCGAAGTATCTGTATCTGTAGACAAGTTTATCAACCAGAGATTCAGTGCTAATAAAGGTTCTGTAGGTTGTAAGAAAAGCTTCTTGATAGAGAAAATCATTTTTAATTGTTTGAGTTGCAAGAACTATCAGAGCATCACAGGTTCCTGCTCTAAGCTCGCTTGTTCCTCCCTGACCAGTCTTATCCAGTGAGGAACCGTAAACTAATAAATGGGAAACGTCAGTAGAATCTAGGACGGACATATCAGTATTATCTCCAGGGTTGAGTAAACTCTTATCCGGTTCTTTAACTCTTTCAATAGGAATGGAAACAGATAATCTGGGAAGTTTAGTTATCTCGGCAAGCTTTGACACCTCTGAGCTAGAATTACTGGACATCGATATATCTGATATCTCCGAGGTTCGGTTACTCAGGTCTTCGCGTAATATTGGGATTGGTCTCTCATCAAGACTAGAGAATTTAAAACTACCAGGCCTTGATCGACTCCGTTTCGGAGGCAAAGCCGGAGGTAGATCTGAGTTATCAATAGTATGGTTCACGTAGTTGGAGTGCACCAGAGCTCCAGGCTTCTTAGTTTCCCGTTGATTATTATCCATGAGAGGAAAGTTAAGAAGTCCAGCTGGAGCATACTCAGAGTACTCGTGGAAATTATGCTGCCATACATTGTGAAGGAGATCATGTGTATGGAAGAATCCATGAAGAATATCCTCTCCGGAGGGTAAAATAGTCTTACCAAACATCTCCATATAGGACATCACATTCCTCTTCTTCGGAGGGAGAGGAGGAGGTCGGTCAATATAATTATGACGAGATTCGGCAATCTTTGACCAGGTAGTGGTAGGTCCTCGGAGTTCAAACTGATTAGAGGAGTTGTGTTGTGAGGTTGAATCATGCCTAGGAACCAGACAAGGATCTTGTAACAGATTATCGTCTAAACTCAACCTGGTTAAGGTTTCCAGAGTTTTCTCCGGATAGAACACATTGTCGTACTCCGATAGTTTTCTTCTGGGCGGTAAATTTCTTGACTGAGCTTCGTAGCTGATTGGATAATTTCCGGAACCATTTCTTATTCTTCGTCCCGGGGTTTCTCTATGCTTTCTCGGGATTGCCGGAGGGTGCTCCCTCTCTAGTTGGTCGGATAAAAAAGATCCATAGCTTTCGAAGGATGGAGAAGATGCATTCGATCGTTCTTTCGATGACCAGGATCTCGACGAAGTATTGTTTCCTGCCTTGGGATTGGAAGTATCGGTCTCATCAAATGAAATATTGTTTACAGACTCTTTGGATAGATTATATGGAGAATCTTCAAAATCCATGAAATCCAAGCTTTGGTCCAACATTGTGGTTTCTGGGCCGTCAGGAACAGGTAAACTTTTGTTATTTCCTTGACTGGCTCCGTGTCGGAGTTCCGGGGGGAAACCGGAGAAACCATAATACAGGTTTAAACTATCTCCCTGATGGAAACTATAGGAACGAGATATGAGATCTTCTAGGCGTCTATCAAGCCTAGGTTTTAGATGCTTAGGAGGTAGAGGAGGAGCAGAATCATAGGAGTTCGAGGATACCTTGGGTAGAAGAGGAGGTTTCACGGGAGATATATCTAGGATTGAATCAGAGCTGAGTGAGAGTCCAAGGGAGGATTCGGGTCCCATGGTCTCGCTTGTAATATCCGGGAGCGAGCTCCCCCGGGTCAGATTCTTGTTTCCTATCCGACCTGAGAGCAGGTTCACAACAACAATCACAGATTTTCTGACGGGCTCGATGATATTTTCCATGACTGTATCCGTTGCTTCAACTTCTCCGGATACAATAACAGTATCTGCCCAGCTGGTTAGGACGGAGACAGAACGGAACGCAGAATCCAGAGATTTTTTAACTTCAGGATCCATTGGATCTTCTATACTTCCAGCGAACGCCTAAAAAGTAAATATTTTAAGACTTTATTTAAATAGATATAAAGGATTAATGAATGTAAGTTCTAAATAACGTGGAATTGATTGATTTAAGAATTTAAGAAAAGTATTATAAAAAGCATTTGAGTTTTTACCACAAACCCAAATGTTCCAATTTCTTTATCTTTGCAACTTCAACCTTCGATATTTCAAACTTGGACTATTTGATCAAACAAAACTCATAGTTTTAAATAACAACAGTCTTTAAAATCGGGTTGCAAATATATAGGAATGAGAAGTAGAGTTTGTGGCAAAAACTCATAGATAAAGATAGATGGCGCAAAAACTCAGTTGCTTGTAAATTATTTTTTTAAGAGACTATTTTCTTAAGAATTATATTTGTTTTTAAAGACAAAGCTTGTATATAGTATAATGGAGGAAAAGAGTTTTTTTAAATCAACAAAATGCTATTAGTGTACATTGTACAATACTAGGCAAGCTGATGCATGTACGTTACATAAAGATTGTACATTGCTCAACCATATGTATAAAAACAGACGACACTAACCTGGATAGCAAGAACAGTTTCAAGAACAACAGTTGCGCACCCAGGCAACATTTCAAACGTATGTTTAGAAACAACATCATGGAAATATTTGAGAGCAAACTGTACTTCCTTAATCAGACAATCAGTGCTCCGAGCAGTACCAAGATGCCCGGTTAGATTATCCGTGGAGCCAGTTTTCTTGGCCAGTTGGATAAAACTTCTCTCTTTGGATTTCCTGTTTGGAGTAGAGCTCTGAGTATTCTTCAGAGCATCCAGGAAATTTTCCTTGAAGGAATGTGCTCGGGCAGCAAAGGCTCCTTTTTTTCTTCTCATGTTTTTCATCGCTTAGACACGTTTACAATCCGACATTACAATCTGAAGGAGATGGAATGACTCCTTCCATCCTTGATGAAATTGGGTTGCCTCTTTATCCTCATTACCGAGAAGGTTTTGGATGAGTCAATGATTCATTGTGGATGAGTATTTAATGTCTGGTTCACAAACCTCTGCTCTGCTCTATGAGAAGAACTGTGAAACCTGCGGCAGGTAGAAAATATTCCTCTCTGCTTCTCTTCCTTGGGTCCAGGGATGACTTGAGTACACCCCCCCCCCTCTCCTCCCACCTCCGACCCAACCCTGATAATTAAAACACGAAACCTATCCTGTGAATCCTGTCCTTTACTCACAGGATATTTAGATCTTCTAATGAAAATAGTTTAGTTGATCTGTATGAAGAGATTGAATTAAAGGTTAAGAAGCTCCGATAATAAAATAGGAAAGGAGATATTTTGACGTAGAGAAAGCCTCCTCGGGTTCAGCTGATATTATATTAGTTTGCGTAGTAAACTCAGATCCTCGGTTCTATTTTCTTTAGATCTTGCAGAGCTCACCCTTTGTACTAAACATTTTACTCCTCTAGTGCTCACACAGACATATATTCAAGCCTGAGCAGTATTCATTCAATACATTTTTTCTTTTCTTTTTTACAGTTTTCTTACAGAAGGCCCCTCCCCTATATTCTTGTTCTACGCCGGTCTTTCATTCTAACCATTTGGCGATTTTTTAAGTTTAACAGGACAGTTGAATTACAGGACAGTTGAATTACAGGACAGTTGAATTGCAGGACAGTTTAATTACAGGACAGTTGAATTACAGGACAGTTTATAAATTAAAGGACAGTTAAATTACAGGACAGTTGAATTACAGGACAGTTTAATTAAAGGACAGTTGAATTACAGGACAGTTGAATTACAGGACAGTTGAATTACAGGACAGTTGAATTACAGGACAGTTGAATAACAGAACAGTTGAATTACAGGACAGTTGAATTACAGGACAGTTTAATTACAGGACAGTTGAATTACAGAACAGTTTAATTACAGGACAGTGGAATTACAGGACAGCTGAATTACAGGACAGTTGAATTACAAAGAAAAAGTAAATAAAAATAAAGAAGCAGACAAAAGAACTAATAACTTGCCACAAATATAACTAACTTTCTGATTCATATTTGTAATTGATTAGATTTTAGAGATTTCAAACTATAATGCAATATATCTAATGAAAAAGTTTGAAATGTCAGGTTGCAAAGATCGAAGGATTGAAAAAATACGGTTTATAACAAGCCTTCAGTGCCTCTTATCCTTTAATTATTTTAAAAATAAACATTGATGGAAATTAAATCGTAAATCTTTAATTAACGAATTAGAAGTAATTGTAATGTTAGATAAAAAGAAATATACAAATTTATGATATGAATGCAATGGAATAAATATAAATAATTGAATATCTGTTTTTAAGTAATTATCTTAATCGAGGTAATTAGACATATTAATGGTATAGTATAAAATAAACAAAAAACAATAGAAAAAAAAGAAAGGAAGCATGATTATATTAAATGTAAAAAACACAAACTTATGAAATAAACTAATGAAATTTTTTTATTTTCAGAATCTAAATAAAATGCCAAAATATTTTTGTGACTACTGCGATACCTACCTAACACATGATTCTCCATCGGTAGTTTTTTTATTTTCATATATTCTGCTTGCATAAGTGTATTTCATATTTCCCTCTGGAATCTTTGAAACAAGAAAGATAAAAATTTATGATTACAATTTAATTTCATATAAAAATGATTTTTTTTCTTAATTCGCATTAATGTGTTTTAAATAAATATGTAATTTTTACAAATCATATAATGTTTGGATATCCATGGGTATTAGATAAATTAAATTTTTTTTTTAAATATAAATTTGAGAACTTTTCTATTGTTGTTAAAACAAATTTTTATCATAAAAATGAATTCATATGAAAGTTTTGTTATCAACAACTAAATCAATGAAAGGACTGAATCAACCGATCAATAGTCATTGTCAATGAATATTTGAAAATAAAATCAAACTGGAGATTTTTAAGGTTTCCTTCAAGACAAGCGATTTTAAGGTTTCCTTCAAGACAAACGATTTGTTTTTTAGACTGGCTTTACCCGGAAACCTTAAATAATTTTAATTTCAAAAATGTCTGGCCTGAGATCAAAACTTTAACATTTTAAATCTGCTTCACCTGTCTCGGTCCCCCCCCCCCTTGGCAATTTGGTATTAGTCATTTCTCAATTATCTTTTGTTAGATTTCTCGTATATCCTCGGAATTAAACTTGAATCTTTCAATCTAAACTGGATAACGTTAATTTCATTTGGCTGAGCGCTTTCCCAACCAACAGTTTTTAACCCAGAACACATAGATTTGGTAAAGAAATTGAGTCCCCAAACTCAAATTTTCTAATCCCTATCTGACTTTAGGTTGCAGAGATACACGAACTAGAAAATCAGAGTTTGTGGCAAAAACTCGATTCCTTTGACTCATTTATAAAATTTATATTCCAGGTTCGGAAAACTCACTGTGCAGGACGGAAACATAAGGAGAATGTGAAAGCTTATTATCAGAAGTGGATGGAGGAGCAGGCACAGACTTTAATAGATACAACCACAGCAGCATTCAAGGCTGGAACATTAATCCAACCCTCTCCCGTCCTTCCTCCTCATCCTGCTCATCAATCCATTCATCTTGTACCATCATCCTCTCTTCTCCAACCCCATCTTCATCTTGCTCATCCACAACACCAACATCCTCTTCATCAACTTCATCAACAACATCAACTTCAGCCTCAACTTCAACCACATCCGCAACTACAACAACATCCTCAACTTCCTCAGCACCATCAGTTACTTCCACAGCATCATCAACTTCTTCAACAGCAAAATCATCTTCCTGGGTTCTTCTCTCCAATGTTCCAATCACCATTCCGTCCTCCGCCTCTTCAGTTCATGATCTTTCCACAACAAATATAGACAATGCTTCTTTACCCTTGTTTTTTATAAATATGAAATATCAGGTTTTCTGATTTAATGCTCTGTAAGTTGTATACCTCATAAGGTTGTTGAATTTTATTGAAATTTTCTTTTTAATTGTAGGAATCAAACAATTTACAAGTTAATACTCATTCTTCATTATTCTTGCTGCAGTATACAGTTCCTGATATATTAGTATATATGTTCCTGATATACTAGTATACGGTTCCTGATATATTAGTATATATGTTCCTGATATACTAGTATACGGTTCCTGATATACTACAGTGAAACCCTTAATAACGAATACATCGGAAGAATTTATCAAATGTCGTGTTGACAATTTTTCAATGAGTTTTATACTATATTACGTAAATTTCAGTATTTGCGAAAATAGATAAATAGCCATGAATATGGGGGAACAGTTTTAAAGAGTTCCATATAATCACTTAATTAAAAAACTAAATATCTGTAACATTCATTTACCAGAATGTTAAGAATACGATATTTGATGAATTCTTTCGATGTATTCGTTATTAAGGGTTTCACTGTATTATGCAGTTCCTGATATGCTAGTATACAGTTCCTGATATACTAGTATACAGTTCCTGATATATTAGTATACAGTTCCTGAAGTCCTAGTATACAGTTCTTGACATACTTGTATACAATTCCTAATATTCTAGTATACAGTTCCTGATATACTATTATACAGTTCCAGATGTACTGGTATACAGTTCCTGATATGTTAGTTTACTGTTCCTGATATATTAGAATATAATTCCTGATATGCTAGTATACAGTTCCTAATATACTAGGATGTATTAGATATTATCTACTGGATATCATCTACAAGATATAGTTTACTATAAACTATATACTGGATATTATCTACTGGATATCATCCACTGGATATTATCTACTGGATATCATCTACTGGATAATATTTACTGGATATTATCTACTGGATTTTATTTGATTGATATTATCTACTGGATATTATTTAATAGATATTATCAACTGGATATCACCTACTGCAAGATATTATTGATCATGAAAGAAACATCTTATTTTAAAATAGAATAAAAATATTTAGAACGACTATGCAAAAAGATGTTATATACAAATTAAGATAAAAAACATTGAGCTAGTTGCTGCATGTTTTAAACCTACTGTGATCGTTTTCTAGTCAAATAAATGTTCTGAGATGAAAGAAGATATAAAATAATAATCATCTTAACAAGGTCTCAAACTCTGATTTTCTAGTCCCTATTTCTTTGCAACCCAATGTCTCTATGGACCTTAAAAATGTCTAACTACTTTCAAACCATAAATAAACCATACATCGAGAGAATTTATCAAATGTCGTCTTGACAATTGTTCAATGGGTTTTATACTATTTTAAGTAAATCTCAGTATTTGCGAAATATAAATAGCCATGAATATGCGGGAACAGTTTTAAAGAGCTCCATATAATTATTTAATTAAAAAACTAAATATCTGCAACATTCCATTATCAGAAAGTGAAGGTTACGACATTTGATGAATTCTTTTATGGCTTATTTAGGGTTTAACTGTATGAAAATTAGATCACATAATCTAATTTTAAAATATCAACGATTTTAACCATAAGGTTGCAAAGATACAGGGGTAATAAATCTGAGTTTGTGTGGCAAAGACTCAATGCCTTTCTTTAAAAATCTTCATCTATTTAAATTAAAACAATGCCAAAAAGATCATTTTAAATGTTTCCTCTCTCTCCGTCTCTGACTTATATGTCAATTATAATTAATAATCATAATTTGTTAAAATAAAGAATTTTAGCTTATCAAGAGAGAAAAGAAGTTTATTTTCTGGTCCGTGAATATTATTTGTGTTTTATACTCTTATTTGATTTTAACCTTTAATTAGTTAATTTAATCATCAATTGGAGAATTTTGAACGGAAAATCTCAATTGTATATAAAAAATCTCAATAGTATAAAAAAAATAGATTACATTTGTTTGGCAATTGAAGACAGACAAGTTTACTCTGTTTGTATACTGTAATTTTCTTGTTTTACTAAGTACAACCGGTTGCAGTCAAAACATAAACAAACAAAATGTAAACATAGCAGACGAAACTATTACAGATTACAGCTTTCTCAGTAGGTATCACTATACTAAATCAAAGAATTATTTGAAAAGACGATATCGAATTCGTCACTGAATTCCCATGTTTTTTGGGACACCCTGTAGATTGAAACAAAAAAAAACCCTCCCCCTCCCCCTTCTAGTCCTTTAAACAAAGAAATAGGAATTCAGGGAAGTTTTCTAATCTTTGCAACCAGATGGTGTTATCCTTTGAAATAAAGGGCAAACTTACATTATCTGATATAACAGAATTCAAAGTTTCTAATATCTTATGAATTTATTTAATGGATGAATCAAGATGAATGAAGAAGACATCCAGGGAACAGTTTTCAGACAATTAAACTTTATTAACGGATTGTTGCAAAACAAAACGTGCATTAGTTACTTGCCAAAATTCTCACTTAAAGAAAAATATATTTGTCTTGTGAATCAGTGAATAAAAACGGCTGAACCGATTGGTTAGACATGGTATTGCCCCTGGGGTGAATTCGAAAAAAAATTGTTATTTTCGTGATTTTAAATCATAATTCTGTTAACAAGAGATAATGCCCGCATATTAAAAATCAGTTCTATTACAGTCATAATCAGAAATACCTGGAATTAACTTATTATTAATCAGACGACTTTACGATCTAATTTTACAAATATTAATAATTAAACGATAATAGACCTAATCCTGCCAATTCCAAAGTGTGGTCTGCCTTTATTGTGCGTTTAAATTACCAAAGATATTTATATGTAAAGTGGTCTGATTAACTCAGTGGATATTAGTTCCAAAACTAACACTATCATTTGTTCTTAAAATATAGATTTAACTAGAAATGCGGGAACAGGTTTGTTTAAAATGCTTGAAAATAAATCATCCATATTCTCTAATTTAACAGATAAAATGTGGAAACTTAGATTAGAAATAATTCAGAAGTTAATTTAGACTTCATAAGATAATTTTTTGTTTCAGTGATTTATTTTGAAAGTAATGAAAGTGATTTTTCTTTAGAATTGTAGATTATACTCAAAAATGGGAAAGTGGGTTTTGTCTCGAAAACGCGACAATGATTCAAATTCAGGATATGTCCGAAAATGGAAAACCTGACATTGTCCTGATAACGGTCAAGAGCTTTAATATAACAAGAACTCCTATTATAATTTTGATTTTAAAAAAGCTTAAAATTGGGAATTGTTGGTTATAGTTTTATTATCGACTTTTATTCTGAATATGGGCCAGGATCCCAAAACCCCAGTCTTTCAATTTGTGCCCATTTCTAACACTCAGTGTTAGTTTTGGAACTAATGTTCCCTGTAACTGTCAATTAATTCCGGGTCTTTCTAGTTATGACTGTGGGAAAAAAGACAGAGGAATTTTGTTTTTGCTGATATTTCAAAATATAAATTCATTTGATCAAATAATCTAAATTTGAAATATCAAAAGGTTTACACCATCATGTTGCAAAGATATAGGGATTAGAAAATTTAAGTTTTTTGCAAAGACTTATTTCCTTTAAAAGTGGAAATATTCTAATATATGTTACAATTATGGATGATTTATTGGATTAAAATATAATTGTATGAGGAATATTACAATAAGATGGTGTTTTCTTAAATAGAACGATTAAGGAGCGAAAGGTTTGGAGACACAGGATCAATTTTGGTCCATCCTCCTTCTCTTAATCCGTCCTTGAACACGGCACTAAACCTTTCTCCATTAGGAAATGTAAAATTAAATTTTCCAGACCTTTTCCCATTCGACCAGACCCCCCGGAGCAGGTTTCCGTTAGAGTACCCAACCGAACCTTCTCCGGTCTGTTTTCCATCCTGCCATGTTCCAGTAAATATATCTCCGTTCTTGAAGTAATAAATTCCTTCCCCGTTTCTCTCATCATTTCTTAAAATATTTTGCATGTAGTCTACAAAACGTCCTCATTCAAAGAATACAATTTTTGATCCTTTCCTAACCTGCACTTTTCCAATCCCTCCTATACCTGAACTGTTCCAATCCTTCCCATACTTGAACTGTTCCAACCCTTCCTTATACCTGAAGTGTTCACATCCTTCCCATACTTGAACTGTTCCAACCCTTCCTTATACCTAAACTGTTCACATCCTTCCCATACTTGAACTGTTCCAAACCTTCCTTATACCTAAACTGTTCCATCCTTCCTATACCTGAACTGTTCCAATCCTTCCTATACCTGAACTGTTCCAATCCATCCTATAACTAAACTGTTCCAATCCTCCCTATACCTGAACTGTTTCAGTCCTTCCGATACCTGAATTGTCCAACGTATTTATCTCCAGCATTCACTCCAACAGTCCACCAGAACTGTCCCAATCCTTCCTTAATTAATAATTAAATCATGAAATTGTAAAGAACTTTGTGCTTTTACAGAGCTATGGGTTCCCGGTGAATCTTCCTTGAAGCTGCGTATAATGAAAACATCTTGGGGAAGAGGGGCCGAGATGGCCAGAGGTGAGGGGGACGGGAGGAGAGGCAACATTGCTCTCTGATTGGTCGATGTTGCTTTAGTGTTGTTGTTATGGTAAGTATTGTCACCACTAGGTGTCTCTGCCTTTAATTATAAATTTTCATTATACGATAAACCTTTTGTTTAAAAGTTGGAAAACAAGATTTATTAGCGAAATTGAAAAGAAATAAGATACTGTTGCGATTAAATTAATTTTGAGATTATCATTCATAATCTATACACAACTTTTCATGTTCTTGATTTTTTAAGTACGTAATCATACATTATTATAAATCGAAGATGAGATCTCCATCTGTCTCTAAAAGCAGTTAAAGCTTAAATGTCTCTAAGCGAAACTGAGAATGGTTACAGGAAATCTAATTAATTATCACCATCGAGTTGCAAGGGATCAAGAAGTTTCTTTCGATCCAAGCATATCCTATGCATCATGCATGACCTTTCTATATCTCTGCGTTTGCGTCTAAATTCTGACATTGTTACTGAATTTTTCTTGCTTTTTTACGATAAATTGTACACTTATCAAAATAGTTTATCAATTTCAAAATGCAAAGACATGAAAAAGTATTTGAACCTTGTTATATTGAGATAAATTATGCTGATGTATCTTTAATCTGGGTCAACTTTCTACACTCAAGGGAATATTCGAATATTCATATTTTCCGATTCAGTAACATTTACTTCGTTAATTCTAGAATTTATCTGACAAAATCATAGATTTTTAATTACGCTCAAAATTATCAATTTCAAGAGAAAATTATGAATCCAAATGGAAGTTTAAAAATTGGAAATCTGGAGAATTAAAAGAAAAAGAATCTTTAACCGACTTCTGACAATTGTAAATCAAGGTAAAATTGATTTAGAAAGAGGAGAAAGTTTAGTTTTCGCTTCTCACCTTTTTTCGGTTTACATACTGTCCTTTATATCTGTTTCCACTAGCGTAAAGATACAGTCCGTATCCAGTTCTGAACAGGAGAAGAGTATCAAAATATGAATCAATTTCCCGGAGCTCTTGATCCTACCTGGAGTCGTTGTCCCAGTCTCCAATATATTTATCTCCACTCGGCCACGACATTTCACCTTTATAAAAGACTTTATGAAGAGATATCAAGGAGTACCACGGATACCAGGGATACCAGGGATAGCAGGGATACCAGAGATACCAGGGATACTGGGGAATACCAGGGATGCCAGGGATACCAGAAATACCTGGGATACCAGAGATTCCAGGAATATCAGGGAAACCAGGGATAACAGGGATACCAGTGATATCAGGGACACCAGGGATACCAGGGATACCAGGGATACCTGGTATACCAGGTATACCAGGTATACCAGGTATACCAGGTATACCAGGTAAACCAGGTATACCAGGTATACCAGGTATACCAGGATGAAACCAGCCTATGTCATAATTTGGTTTTCTTTTAACAATAATTTTAGATTTTCTATAAAATGATATTTCAGGGCCCAACAGGTTATATAGCATAAATATGTACACCTGCAGTATGGAAACAGTACAACAAAATGACCGTTTTACACTTTTTTCTAGTAAATTCCTCTCTATATATTCTATTCTCTATGGATACCAAGGATATCTAAGATAAAAGAAATCATTTGAAAAGTCCTGATCTTAACCTTTCCCGTGCATTCTTCCCTGTCTCATGTTACCAGAATATCTTCTTCCATTCATCCAAAACATTTCTCCAGTACCGTGTCTTTTAATGGAGAAATAATATTATTTAGTTTTATAGTTTTAATGTTGATAATTATGAGAACAGACAGAGTTACTACTAAATGTCGGTGTTACCGGAGCTGGAAACTCTTGTATTCTGGATTTCAAGATAAATGCTTCATCTCGATCCTTTGTTAATTTACAGAATATTTAATCTTTATTCGGTATCCCGCATGTTAATCGTACCCAGTCAGGGGTTAAAGGAAGAAAGAACTAAAATAAAAGATGGAAAGTTGTAATTTTTTATATTTATTAAATAATACCAATAATAATAATGATACCAATAATAATAATAATGATACCAATAATAATAATTATACCAATAATAATAATAATGATACTAATAATAATAATGATACTAATAATAATAATGATATACTATTAATAATAATGATACCTATAATAATAATGATACTATTAATAATAATGATATTAATAATAATATTGATACTAATAATAATAATGATATACTATTAATAATAATGATACTATTAATAATACTGATACTATTAATAATAATGATACCAATAATAATAATGATACTAATAATAATAATGAATACCAATGAAAATAATGATACTATTATTAATAATGATACTTTTGATAATAATGATTCCAATCAAAGTAATGATACCAATAATAATAATAATGATACCAATAATAATAATGATAATATTAATAATAATGATACTATTAATAATAATGATACCAAAAATAGTAATGATACCAATAATAATAATAATACCAATAATAATAATGATACTATAGAGGACGTGAGTCAGACTCTAATAAAAACGCATAAATAACTTCCAGTATATATATTTCTTATAACTTATTACTAGAGGGTTCAGAACTCGAGTCAATATCGATATCGCACGTGTAGACTGTAGATGATGATATCAGTACTATGCCCTGTATCCGTTCTATCTCATTCTGTTGAATCTTGTGGAACTAGTTTAACGCGGCCAGGCATCGTCTTCCACAATACCAATAATAATAATGATACCAATAATAATAATGATACTAATAATAATAATGGTACTAATAATAATAATGATACCAATAATAATAATGATACCAATAATAATAATGATGCTAATAATAATAATGATACCAATAATAATAATGATGCTAATAATAATAATGATACCAATAATAACCTGACGTCCTCGAAATAGTTTCCAACAAACTTGTCTCCATTAGCGTAGGTTGTAACTCCTTTACCGCTCCTAGCAATATATATTTTTCTTACATACTTTAATATAAAAATTACCTTATAACATAAACAATCGATGACTACTGTTTGTAATATCTGAATGAATGTTTGGAATTAAATTGATTTTTTTACGATCCGAGTTTAATGATGCATCTTTCTGAATTTGTATGGGCACTACTTTTAGTATTAGTCGTTTTTAACAATTTTCCCCTTATAGACGCAACAGAAGTAAGATTAGTAGCGATCAAAAGCGATTTTTTATCGCATTAAGCCTAAACCCCCTTTCATTTTTCGCGAACACCCCCTTTAACACAGTTCTTGAAAGAAATTTATTCTCTATTGCAAATGATTGTTTTATAAATCTGTTGATCTGAATAAAACGTTAGATAATAAACACTCGAAATATTTTGATGTCCCTCTCTGAGCAGCATGCATTGTTGCATTTAATGTACTATTAGTGTGTGCATGATTATCATTATTATTATTATAATTACCGTTTCCCCTGATCCCAGTGCCCAGTGTAAGAGTAAGCTGAACATCTAACAAAAAGATTTGTAGAAACATTAAAAACAATAATTCCAGAATGTGTGTATTAACCATTTGACAAGATTAGGACGATTATATGAAGAGGAAGAAACATATTATCTTTAATTAGTTTAAAAGGAATTGAGTCTTTGCCACAAACTCTAATTTTCTAACCCCTATATCTCAGGGAATAGGAATAAAGGGAAAGGAAATGGCGCTGGTCTGGCATGAGAAAGCCAGTCGCACTGCTTTGCAGACAAGTTCGGTAAACTTTACACACACTCTTTTGGTACAGGCACACAACATGACTACAGTCAAGGAAATTGCAGAACAATGTCGTCAATTAAATAATATATTACATGCATATTAAACTTATTTTTAAGTAAACAATTAACAATTAACAAATGTACTCTCCTAGACTGTGCAAATACCGAGATTCTTATGTACTGTATAAACCTACAGTACACACCTTTGGTTCGGTTAACTTTACACACACTCTTTTGGTACAAACACACTCACATGACGTTTCCGCCCACTGCTATATCTTTAAAATCTGATGATGTAAACCTTTGATATTTTAAACTTAGATTATGTGATCTAACAGAATGCATAGTTTGAAATATCTAAGTTCTACGACATTGGGTTGTAAAGATATAGGGATTAAAAGATCAGAGTTTGTGACAAAGTTTGAATTTCTTTAACAATAAATTGTCAGTATCCTCTCATCGGTAACATCATCACACCCTTGACCAAAAAGAACTTAGTTCCTTCAGTCAGAAATCCCCAGTTTCTGATGTGTAAAAAAACCTGGAGTTGGTTTATTAAAATCATAAAAAAATCTTTAACTTATATTTTTGTTTTGTTGCTACAGGGTTACCAACAAAAATAAGACTATAATGACAACCTAGAACTTTATAATTTCGACGATCTTATGTTAAAATGGGATCTTTGATCTTGAACATTGTCTGAATTATTTATCTTTAAGAGCAAAACGTTTGAATGAAAATAAAGACACATTAATTTAAGATAAAAGTCTGTAAAATGCCGTCCAGTCGTCTTTGAAATTTCATCCTTAGCTGGTAGCGATGTACCTGTAACTACCAAACCCTTGAGGCTCTCCTGCAGAATTAATTTCTCCGCTATATCTACCAGAAGAACAAACTCCGTTCCCCCAAACCAAATCCTGACAAGATAAACGGATGGTAAACTAGCTACAGTTTTCTATAAAGTAATTGAGTTTTTGCCACAAACTCATATTTTCTAATTGTTTTATCTTTGTAACCTAATCGTGTAAATCTTTGAAAATTCAAACTTAGACGTTTGATCTAACGGAATTTATATCAAAGGTCTAAGAGAAAAACTGTCTTTGTAATTAGAAAATGTATTAGCTGCTGTAGGATTATTGATCATTGGGTGATTTGGAAAGTAAGCGTAGAAGTTAACCTTCATGAAGAAACAGTTCGGTTTAGATTAAAATAATTGCGTCATATAAGCTGTCTTGTTCTGCTTGTCTTTCTATATAATAAAGCTCTTCCCTCCTATATATATATTATATACTAACTAAAGTGCCCGGCGCTGCCCGTGAATTTTTTTATTTTTGAAAGAAAAAATAGATTTTTGAAGAAAAGAAAAAAATTCGATTTTTTAGCCTATGTTACCCTAAAAATTCAGCCCATTCGGTCCAGCCGTTTGGCCAGCTATAGCTGACATATAAATATATAGATATATATATATATGGGCGAAGAGCTTTATTATATAGATATAAATGTAGTATGGATATAAAGCCCATAAACGGAAGGGCTCGTAATATTTTTGTTATTATTTTTTGTATCTAAATCTAAACTTTTCTTAAATTATCCTGTTTATATAACAGATTCTAATCACTGCGATTAATAATGTAATACACCGATAAAAAAGCATCGTAAGAATTGAGACTATAAAAATTTACAAATGTGAAAAATATTATTTAAACCTGAACCACGGAGCTAGAATAGTTCTCTGTAGTCTGGGAATACACTCCAGATATTAACAATAATATCTTTAACATTGACATTGTCTAGTTCTCATCTTAAACTGAATCTTTGTTTAGTGTTTACACCCTAGGATACTGATAAGAGAACATTTAAAATAAAATTAAAAATACAATTTTTAATTTTTAATTTTATTTATTTGTCTATTTATTTGTACACCAGGCTTCAATTTTTTCTATTTACTTGTCCACCAGGCTTCAATCTATATATTTGTACACCAGGCTTCAATTTAAGCTTCTCCAAAGAATTTTCCACCAGTCTGTTTCACACCACCCAGTGCTAAAAATATGAAAATTCTTCTTCATTTTTTTTTCATTTTTTAAAACCTAACAGCTCTTTTATTTCATATTACATCCTTCTCCATTCCCATTCTTTACATTACATCCTAGTCCCTTCCTTTTCTTAACATTTTATCCTACTCTATTAGTTTTTTTCCCATTATTTCCTACTTTATTCCTATTCTTCAAATTACATCCTACTTCATTCCTATCTTTTTCTCCTCTCCACCATCCATATACTTCATCCAATCCCTAATTCATCCATATTCTACATTACTATTCATCCCTTTTCATTTACATACATCCTTCACCATCAGCCCATAAAATCAATCTTACATCAAATGAAAATTTAAAAAATTAAATAAACGGAATAGTAAAGGAATTGAGTCTTTTTAACAAACTCTGGTTTTCTAATCCCTATATCTTTTCAATCCAGTGCTGTAGACCTATGATATTTCAAACTATGAAATATGTTAGATTAAATAATCCAAGTTTGAAATATCAAAGGTTTATACAAACCGGTTGCAAAGATATAGGGATTAGAAAATTTGAGTTTGTGGCAAAAACTCAGATCCTTTGTACCTTATTACTCCATCATGATATTTAGGATAGCCCAAACTGTATCTAAAATACAAAAGCTTGTAATCTTTAAACCATTCTAACTTAATTTTCAGGGTGTCTGTAAACACATTTTCCGGGGTATATAAATAATAAACATTTGCAAGTCATATTTAGCTAAATTCACATATTCTTGGATAATCTGACAAACGCAAAGATACTCCTAGTTGTGAAGTTGTTTGGGACTAAATGATTAGTAACCTGTTAGGCTGGAAAGCAGGTTTTACATCTTTGACCAGGGTTTTAACTTTCTCCTTCATCTTCTCCACCAGCTCCGGATACTGGGAAGCTAGGTTCTCAGTTTCAGTTGGATCCTTCTCCAGGTCGAATAGATGATACACATCTTTCTGATTCACAACAACTCAAAGTTTTTAAAATTATTGTTTTTTGTTCAAGTATGTTCGAGTAGAGGACAATGACAACCATCGTATAGGGTGGATCAAAAAGGTTGGCCGATTAAATTTGGGCCTCGGCCCCGTGTTTCAAAAATGACTTAACTTTATTTTATCATACTTTTCTTCATTGATTACTGAATAATATTTGCGCAAAGTAGATACATACAATTTGTACAGCCACCTGTATTTAATATCTGAGTTAGTCTGTCAGGAGGACGGATATCGTTACCCTTGGGACTCAGAGCTAGGCTACTTACAGAAAGTATTTTTCACTTCTGGACTAAAGATATGAGAAAAACGAACAGCATTGACCTGAAATATGAAAATATTTTTTTAGTAACACACCAATCTTTTTGATCTACCCGTCATAATGTCTTAATAACCATTAACCAAACCGAATAAAACATCCTTGAGCTGATTTCCTTGAATCTCTTGTTAACCTCAAACTTGTCTGGATTCCCCCAAACAAACTTTATATTTTTCTCCCGGATACCATGCTGCAGGTGTCCGCTCTTATCATCCTTTAAACAGTTTATAGATTAATCATTCAACATTGTTCCTCTAGATATATCTGGAACCTGAGTTAGAATTTCTGAAATTTAAAAATATCTCAAGTCTATCATTGGTTGAATATTTTTTTGTTCAACCAATCAGAAGTCATCAAGTTTAGAAAAGTATTGACCCAACCAGAGAACAGTGCGTAAGAAAAACCCGAGCGTTAGAAGTTCGGGCCTTACTTTAAAAATCTTAGCTCTGGACATTGGACAATGACATTATTAGATATAAATCCAGGAAATGTTGAGACCGTGAGCCGAAAACTTTTTAATTAATGTAATGAGTTAATCTTTTTTTCTAATAAACGAGTTTTTCCATTCCCTTTCCTCCACCAGGATCGTAAATCAATTGTTGACAGCTTCTATTTGTCAATGTTAAACTCATGAGTTTAACATTTACCTGATCCAAGGAGTAAACTAGAGAATTTCTAGAAAATTCTTCTCTCTGCTGCAGAGCTTCCCAGATATTGAACCCGTCCGTCTTCAAGGAAAAAATAAATATTTAACTTTTATAAATTTATAAATTTTATAAATCCAACCTGAACATCTGAACTAACTCCAGCCAACTTTAGAAGAGTTGGAAACCAGTCTGTAATGTGAACCATGCTCCGGGTAGTGTAGCCTTCATCCAGGTTCAACAAAGGACTGAAAAACGAAAACAATTAATAGTTAGGGGATTAATAACTTTTCAGGTGTAGAGGTATACCTGGAGACTAAGGCGGGTACCCTTACTCCTCCCTCCCACAAGGTACCTCTAGATCCTCGAAAGGGCAGGTTTCCTACATCTCCACCTAAATCATAAAACCATAGTTTCTTTCTAAATCTACAGAAATATATTTACCGTACCTACTCCGTTATCTGAGGAGAAAACCAGAACTGTGTTTTCGAACATGTTTCTCTGCTTCAGAGTTTTCACAATATCTCCGACAGCTGAATCCACCGCAGATATCATTCCGTATCTTATAGTATCTTCCTATAATAAAGAAATGTGCTTGGTGTGGGGATTTTAATTGATAAATTACTTAATATTCACCTCGGAAAGGTTCCTAAACCTCCTCTTTTTGTAACGTTTGACATAGGATTCAGGAACCTGGTACGGAGCTCCGGCTGCTGTAAAGGACACCTGGAGAAACCAAGGAGTTGAATTCGAACTGTTCCATCCTTCTATTAAACTATATCAATAAGAGACAATAAGAATATAGTGTACGACGTGACTGGATGGTAGACAGTATCTACATCTCTATATATATACACTTTGCTTGTCTGTCAGTTTGATATTCTGTTCGAATACAATCAACGTCTAAACTGCTGAACCAATCGGGTCTAAATGATCCATATAAAGGTTTAAAGGCAGACAAAGTTTAACAATCTTTCCCAGAAGAAATTTCGACAATCGGTATTTTTGAAAATGCGCCAATTTAAATAGAATAATCAGCCAAAATTTCAGAATGATTAAAATTGACCACTATCAGAGCAAGGAAGGTGGCGCTTTGATAGCCTAATATAATATAGAAAATAAAGATACAGTGACGGTACACTATTGCTTGTTATATGATCTAAAAAGGAAAAATGAATGACAAAATTAATCATTTCCTACGAAAACAGATTTATTTTTATTTCTTGAAATTTCTATCTGTTTCGTTTCTTTATTTATTTGAAAATACTAAAAATATTTTTCTCTTCTCCTTTGAGCCTCATCTCTCCACAAGTGTGTACTGTACTTTCCTGCACCTGAAGAACAAAAACAATCAATTAGTAAAAAGACAAATTTTAGTCCAGTCGGCAACGTATTTATCAATACAATGAAAACAACCTCTCGATATTTCTACCAAGCTTTCAAACAGCAGAAACACTTAACATTTAAACAGAGAGAAGTTGTCAATTATGAGCTTTTTAATAAAAAGTCGTCTTCATTGTATTGACATAATCGCAGATCAATGTATGTTTCTAGAAATCTTCCGTTTCATAGGAAAATCCGCGAAAACATAAAAGCTGTTTCTTTTATTATCATTTTATTATTATTATTTCTGTAGTCTAGAAATATACCTTCATATGAAATATTTTCTCCTCTTCTTAGATCGTATCCTTCACCGATCTCTTCATTCTCCAGGTATATCCTGGAGTAGTGATCAGTCTGTTGACTGAACTGTCCGAAGAATGTTGTAAACCCTCTCCTGGTGGGTAGGTAGGAAGGATGGCAGTATCCTAGATGCCATCTTCCAACAAGATGTGTAGTATATCCTGCAGCCTAGATAATATATTCTATTATATCCTATATATTGTAGTATATCCTGCAGCCTAGATAATATATTCTATTCTCTAGAAAATTAGGGATCAAATAATTACAATGCAAAAGCTTTCACTTCTTGTAAAGAATTAAGTTCTTGTCGCAACCTCTGATTTTATAATCCCTATATCTTTGCAAACCCTTTTCAAAGATAAAAAGTGTCCACCATCAGGCTACAAAGGTATAAGAATCAGAATATTTGTGGCAAGAAATATTAGGGATCAAATAATTACAATGCAAAAGCTTTCACTTCTTGTAAAGAATTAAGTTCTTGTCGCAACCTCTGATTTTATAATCCCTATATCTTTGTAACCCGATGTAGTAGACCTCCTAGATAAAATTGTAGAAGTTTGAAATATCAAAGGAGTATACACCACCAAGTTGCAAAGATATTGATTTATAAAATTTTGATTTGTGGCAAAAACTTTATACTTAATTATATCTAAAATAGCAATGTAAAAACCTGTAGAATTTCTGGAAAGGTTTTGAAATCCGTTACTAAACCTAAAAGCAAAAAGTATTATCAAGAAGGAAATAGGTTATGTAAAGTTTATGTTTATGCAGAAATGAACAAACACAAGTAGCTGAAATAAATATCAAAGAATTTGAGTCTTTGCGAAAAAGTCTGAATTTCTAATCCTTATATATTTGCGCGTAGGCTTTAGATATGAATTATGTTAGATCAAATAATGTAGATTGGAAATATCATCAGGTTGAAAAAATATAGGGATTAGAAAATTTGAATTTGTGGAAAAAACTCATTTCCTTTGAAAATTCCTAGAGTTAAATTGATCTTTACAAAACAAGCATGGCTGACATACTCAATCCTAATTTATCAGAAAATATTCCTAATTCTTTTCTGCTTGTATAAAAACATGTACTTGTGAAGGAATTCAACCTTTGTCTTTGAAACTTTGAAATCTCTGATATTTCAAACTAGAGATTGTTTGATACAACAGAACTCATAGTTTGTAATATCTAAGGTCTACAACATTAGGTAGCAAAGATATAGGGATTAGAAAATCAGTGTTTGTGACATAGACTTAATTCGTTACAAACCTTAGGGAAATAAAAAACAAGAAGTTTTGATTTACATCTCAATTCTTCTTCCTTGTCACTTTAAAAGGAGTTGAGTCATTGCCACAAACTCAAATGTTCTAATCCTTATTTATTTGCAACCTGTTGGTGTAAACTTATGAACTTTCAAACTTTGATTTTTTGATCTAGCATAATTTACAGTTTGAAATATCTAAGGTCTACGACATTGGGTTGTAAAGATATAAGAATTGAAAAATCAGAGTTGGGGGCAAAGACTCAATTCCTTTATTTAAAAAACTACTAACTAGTCGAAGAACCTAATATATCTCCTTTATATTAAAGGTAGCTGTCGCAAAACAAAATTAAATGTTTTTCAGGATAAATTCTAATCCAAATCACTCCAGAACGAAGAATTACTCTTTTTACCGCGCTCTTCCGGGTGTGTGAAAAATACAAAAACATCGGATGGAAAGATATCTATCTATCTATATACAGTGAAACCCTTAATAACGAATACATCGGAAGAATTTATCAAATGTCGTCTTGACAATTTTTCAATGAGTTTTATACTATATTACGTAAATTTCAGTATTTGCGAAAATAAATAAATATCCTTGAATATGCGGGAACAGTTTTAAAGAGTTCCATATAATCATTTAATTAAAAAACTAAATATCTGCAACATTCCATTATCAGAAAGTGAAGAATACGACATTTGATGAATTCTTTCGATGTATTCGTTATTAAGGGTTTCACTGTAGCAAAACCGAATCGCGTATATCCTATATCTACATTGTTCGCGTATACGCCCTTTAATTCTAAAGTTACCTGTAGGACGGAATGTGCCAATATTTCCTCTTTGAATTCCAAGTCTTCAATATCAAAATTAAACTTTAGCATAATAGTCTGATTTTTTTAAATAAAATTTCATCATATCATAATTTTCAATTGTATAAAATATCTATAATGCTGAAATCTTAAATCTAAAAATAGTGTTTGAAAAGAGTAGAAAACGTTTAAAAAAATTAAAATTGTTGTCTTCATTTGAATAAGATTGTTCACAAATTAGAAATGCTTTAGAACATTCCGATAGAAATAGAAAAAAAGAAACAGAACACGTGACTACAATTGCAATGATTACATCATAATATTTCTGCAACCTGATGTTCTAGGCTTTTAATATTTTAAACTATGAATTCTTTTAGACGTACAATTGATAAAGTTTGAAATATCAAAGATTTAACTATCACTCGCAAAGATATTGGTATCAGGATTCCAAAATTAAAGTTTGATGCCAGTGTTAATACCTGTGTGGATAAAGTCCAGTTAGGAGGGCACCTCGAGACGGAGAACATCTAAAAAAAGTCTTATTTTCTATTTTCATAATTTTATCTTAATTTCAGTTCTCCGACCACAGAAATAGTGAGTTTTAGTGGAGAGTGCAATACTTGAAATATGAAAATAAACCTGGTTGAAGCGTAGTATGTATCAAGTATAACTCCCTCTCTTCCAAGTTTCTCTAGGTTCGGAGTAAATACATCCTCATTGTTCCAAGAAACATCATTATAACCAAAATCATCAGCTAGGATGAAGAGAATGTTTGGTTGTTTACCAAGTCCTGGCTCTGGTAGCACTATTAACAAGTACAGAACTACGAATGAACATAACATCCTGGAAACCAGGGTTAGGATTCACTCAGGGTGTTTTTTAGACTGTTATAAGTATGTAGTAACCGAGAGAGAGAAAACAGGCCATAAACCTGGTACGCTCTCTCAATCTCTCTTATTTTCTTAAAGTAAATGTATTCACAATAGATCCAACGCCGGGCCCAGCAAAACACTGGAACTGATTGCTATGTTAAAGTTTCAGCATTTTTTACAATTTTTGATTCATTTTCTCACAATTATTTAACTTTCATTTAATGTTTATTTTAAATGTTTGAAGTACAAATTCTCTTTATATTATTGCTTGAGGGTTAAAATAAATTTTAATTTTAAATTGGTTTTCCAAAGTATATCTTAATTTCTTTCATTTCATTTAATTTTTTTCCAGACTTGGCCCCGTCTGAATATTTAGTTTTATCTATATATATATATNCGATACCAGTAGTACGACCGGAAGCATAAAGGGAGAGGACGGCCTGGATGGCAATGTACATAGCAGGAGAGTTGAAGGTCTCGAACATGATCTGTGTCATCTTCTCCCTGTTGGCCTTGGGGTTGAGGGGAGCCTCAGTAAGCAGGACGGGCTGCTCCTCGGGGGCGACACGGAGCTCGTTAAAGAAGGTGTGATGCCAGATCTTCTCCATGTCATCCCAGTTGGTGATGATTCCATGCTCGACAGGGTACTTTAGGGTAAGGATACCTCTCTTGCTCTGGGCTTCATCTCCGACATAGGAGTCCTTCTGTCCCATACCGACCATGACACCCTAAACAAAAAAAATTGTAGCAATGAAAAGAATCACAATTTATTTATTTACAAACCTGGTGACGGGGACGACCGACGATGGAAGGGAAAACAGCTCTGGGAGCATCATCTCCAGCAAACCCTGCTTTGCACATTCCAGATCCATTGTCAATGACAAGAGCTGCAACATCTTCGTCACACATCCTGCAGGTTTATTTTCTTATCCTGGTCCGGAGGAAGCTGAGTTCAAGTTGGAACTGAGAGATATGACGGAAGTTTGTATCCTGGAAAGACTTGGCAGTGCTTTAGTGCAGGTCAGCTCCAGGTTCTCTTGTATTCTGCAGAATCAGCAGTTTCCTCCTACTCAGGTATCAGCAGATCCTTGAAACTCTCTAGATTCAGGACAGAGACAATTTAATCACTCTAAAACAATAAATTTTCTTCTATTTTAACTTAAACTTTTTTATTCAACAGTAATTTTTAAATTTGAATAGTTTTGAAATGTAGTTTTCTTGTTTTCAGGGGGCTTGCTTCCATATTTGGTAATATGTTTACTGCTGAGTAAGCTCTAAAAGAATCCAAGAGCTGGGGTATACTTGAACCCTGAGCTAAACTATCCTATCCTTTTATAGTTAAACAGCAGAAAAAGCATATTAATTCTAAATTGTCGTCTTTATTCTATTTACACTCTAAGAAATGTTGGAGCACCGGAGTCAAGTACAAATTAAAATGTTTTTTAATGAAATTATTTATCAATCCATATTTGAATTTGGCTCCGGTGCTCCAACAAATTGATATTTCTTAGATTGTACAGCATTTTTCAACATACAGAGAGACAATCACAAAGTATCATTCTTTGAAGATGACGGATCATATTTTCTGGTTTCATATCTATCTTATTTTATTCTTAGCTCGTCAAAGCTGCAAAGTATACAATTACTTTATATTTAATGGCATTTATAAAAATTGAATAGATTATCTATAATAGAAAAGATTAATTTGAAAGATCATTTTCCCAGGATATGTCTCATCATATGTTTATATAACTCTATATATATATATATATATATATATATATATATATATATATGTATAAATATCTCTGTCTGTTTGTTTATATTTCCGATCATAACTCATAAACCCCTTGGCCGATTTGGCTCAAATTTTGCTTGGGCCACTCGGTATAACCATGCAAATAATCTTGATTTTAAAATTATAAATTAAGTGGGTTGACTTTTTATATAGAAAGTTGGACCAAAAAGCTGGATTTCAATAATTTGATAATATGTGCGTGCTTACAAATAAGGCTTGTATGTTTATTCTTAATTTGATGTGACGACTTGAATTTCTCTTTTAATCAAGAAATTATCATGTTGATTAAGACAGAGTCTGTCCAAAATTTGCATATCATATTTTTTATTATGACGAAGGCGACATTATAAAACGTAGTGCCGGGGAAAATTAAAATCATAGAAATAGTTAGATAATTTAAAGGATATACTTAATTTTCAGTGATAAAGCGATTTATGAATTTATTTGGAAACCTTTTTTATTGAAAATCAACATATTTTAATTTCTCGTAATATACGCATTTCGAACGAACCTAATTAAGATTTATTCTCCGGGATGAAATTTAAATATTTTGTTGCATCTAAGATTAATCACACAGGATTATATTGTAAACATAATTATCTAAAAGCATTTTCTGTGAACAATAGATGGACCGCACTCATCGTATTCTTGTTTTGTGATCCACATCTGCTGGAAGGTGGAGAGGGAGGCCAGGATGGATCCACCGATCCATACGGAGTACTTCCTCTCAGGGGGAGCAATGATCTTGATCTTAATGGTGGAGGGAGCCAGGGCTGTGATCTCCTTCTGCATCCTGTCAGCAATACCGGGGTACATGGTGGTACCTCCGGACATGACGGTGTTGGCGTACAGGTCCTTACGGATATCAACGTCGCACTTCATGATAGAGTTGTAGACAGTCTCGTGGACTCCGCAGGATTCCATTCCAAGGAAGGAAGGCTGGAAGAGGGCCTCAGGGCACCTGAACCTCTCATTACCGATGGTGATGACCTGACCGTCGGGAAGCTCATAGGACTTCTCCAGGGAGGTGGAGGCAGCAGCGGTGGCCATCTCCTGCTCAAAGTCCAGGGCAACATAGCACAGCTTCTCCTTGATGTCCCTGACAATCTCCCTCTCGGCGGTTGTGGTGAAGGAGTATCCTCTCTCAGTCAGAATCTTCATGAGGTAGTTTGTCAGTTCACGACCAGCCAGATCCAGACGAAGGATGGCGTGGGGGAGAGCATAACCTTCATAGATGGGAACGGTGTGGGAAACACCATCTCCGGAGTCCATGACGATACCAGTAGTACGACCGGAAGCATAAAGGGAGAGGACGGCCTGGATGGCAATGTACATAGCAGGAGAGTTGAAGGTCTCGAACATGATCTGTGTCATCTTCTCCCTGTTGGCCTTGGGGTTGAGGGGAGCCTCAGTAAGCAGGACGGGCTGCTCCTCGGGGGCGACACGGAGCTCGTTAAAGAAGGTGNCAACTTTTTTCAGTTTAAATATACATTTTAGATGTTTAAATATATATTTCTTCAAAGACAAAATGTTTCATGGGTCTAACCCAATCATCAGTTGGAATAAAACTGATACTGGAGCATTTTTTACAATGATTTCACGGATTTTTACAGAATATGATGAAAATTGTTTTACATTTAAAGTGATAAATATTGTTTTACTTAAAAAAATCTTTTTGAAATGGCAGTTCATAAGTTTCTTCTCTTGTTTATTTCTCCTCAGGTCTTGGAGCATTTACTAAGTAGGAATTTCTCTCAGTGCCTTTTTATTACTTCGCTTCTTTTATTCAATAGGTTTGCATCCTCAGATAACAATTTACAAGTTTTTTCCATCAGACAGAGATTGCACGTTTTTACGACAGGATTATTTGGTTTAGCTCAAGGGTGTAATGCAAGGAAAGTTAATTGCGGTCGTGTATACTTTGCGTACATATTGAAACCAGTTCTCTTTGGGCGGAATTTGTAAACAAGAATATATGCATCAGCGTTCTTTTAGTATCCGAGGAGGATAAAAGCATTAAATTTGATAATTTTGATAATTCACATAATAGTTTCCTACGACCAGAATATTTCATTGATTTTTTAATGTGAAAAATGGATCCAATGTCAGGCGGTAACATCCGTCTTGTGTTTACATTACCACCCAGAGACAGTACACTGCAGTAGTACAAAAGATGCGTACACTTCTGAAATAACTTTCTTTGCATTACATCTTTGGTTTAGCTTAACCAGAATAATGTAAATGGTTCGTTTATCTTGTTTAGGCCCCAGATATGTTTGGATAAACTAGTATTATATTCATATTTAAGATTATTAAAGGATAACTTGTGATTAGTATATCTCTCCTTGAACGAATTTGCAGCTATACCTATATACCTTGCAGTCATCCCTGTTGACATCACTTCTGCTTTAGAAACCACGCATTTACTCAGACATTTTCCTTTTAGAACACAATTCTTTGTTAAACCACGACAATTGCAATCTTTTACATTTTTATCTTGATTTGATTTACAGGTTTTACTCAGAAGTTTCTTATTATGTCCAGATAGAACTGCTTCAATATTTGTCATGAAAGAATATATATTTAACTTTATATAAACATATATATAAATACATAACTCTTAAAATAGAAACCACACAATTGTATGAGTTGAAGGTCTCGAACATGATCTGTGTCATCTTCACAAGGTCTTGTGAAAATAATTCAAACGAAAGATAATAAAAAAGCCAGACAATGATTTCTCCAACCTAGGTTAGTTTATGATAGAACCAGTCCTTGATATATATCCGTCCTGGTGAGCAGGATGAATATTGTTCTGTGTATCCTAGTATCTGTCCTAACCCAGAGCAGTGCTAGCAAACCAAACATACTTTTCATACTAGCAGACGATTTAGGTGACGCACTAATTAATAAATTTAAAAAAACAGATAAATCGCCTCAAACTCTAATTTATAACCTCAAAATCTTTGCAACCTTTGTTAACCTTTAATATTACAAACTTGACTTTTTGTATTTGATCTAACAAAATTCATATTTTGAGTTTGAGTTTTAGGAGAAAAACTAGTTCTCTTTATTACTATCTAAATTAGGTGTTTAAAAAGAACAAAAGACTAATAATTAATTTTCACCGTCACATTTTATATCCGATGTATTTCTTTGTGACCGGAAAAATCTCGTATTTTTAAACTCGATTACAGACCAAACTTACAAAATCATTCTACAAATAATTTAAAGAATTTGAGCTGCGGCTTAAATTTGAGACGCGGCTCAAATACGGTTGGTTCCACTTAAAATTGCATTCAATGTTTCAAGATTTAAGCCGGCATTTAATTGAAACCGGTTTTTGACGGATTTAAGACGCGGCTCAAATTCATTAAATTCGTCGGACTTTGATTCTATAATAAAGAAAAGTCAAGTAAAATATTTTTGGGTTTCTACCCCTTCCGTTTTCGTAAACACTCCCTTGTAATGTGAGGTTTTTTGACAAAAAAAAATAGAAAATTAAGAGGATTGTTTATTAGGTTTATTAGTGGGCATGGAACAAAACATAATTATGAAATGTGTTATATTTAATTCTTTAGATCTGCAATTCAAACCATTCTAGAAACTTCGGAGTCCGAATTTAACGAAGTAAATGATGTAAAGTAAAAAATAGTATCTATTAAAGAATAGCTTAATCTTCAACAAGAAATTTGTATCTCACCCAAATGGGTATTCCCGATCTGAACATCTAAATAAAAATCTAAAAAAAACTTTGAAAACAAATAACAAACGGAAAACAAATATGTAAAGTGATTTTACATAAATATATTTAGTTTTAAAGTAAGGAACTGCATGTTCTGGACACAAAATCTGATTTGCTAATCCCTATATCTTTGCAAACCCTTTTCAAAGATAAAAAGTGTCCACCATCAGGCTACAAAGGTATAAGAATCAGAATATTTGTGGCAAGAAATAAATCCTTTAGGTTTTGGAGATGTATCTTGGAACAACCCAGAGATGATAACCCCGAACCTAGAACGGTTAGCTGGTCAAGGGGTTATCCTGGATCAGTATTATACTCAACCTAAATGTTCTCCGTCAAGAGCTGCATTGATGACAGGTTAGAGGTTTAAGTACTTTTTTATATTTACAGATATAAAAGTAAAGTAAATATTTTTAAAACCTTAGCTGAAGTAATAAATATTTAATCCGAGGACCAATTGTTATCACATATAACACATCTAGGACTAGAGTTCTGCAGTCGACAAGTTACAATTAACAAGAAGTACCCAAATATAACAATATACATATAACAATATACATATAACAAGAAGTACCCAAATATAACAATATACATATAACAATATACATATAACAATAAGTACCCAAATATAACAATATACATATAACAATATACATATAACAAGAAGTACCCAAATATAACAATATACATATAACAATATACATATAACAATAAGTACCCAAATATAACAATATACATTTAACAATCTTCGCATATTTATATGTTTGCTATGGTAGGCCAAAAGGCTGTACCAAATTGGCTGAAATTTTTTAATGGAATGCATGGGTACCCCGGGGGTGTCATAGGCTAAAAAAAATATTTTTTTTTTACTTCTATGGGCAACACTGGGCCATTCAGCTAAAATTATGATTTAATACCGAGTGCGGGTAAACGGCGGGAGTAACTATGAGTAACCTTGGCAACGCCGTGCACTTCAGCTAGTAACAAAATATGACAATAACCATACCTCTTTGTTGATTCATACTTGTAACCTTAGTATGTTTTTGGTATTTTTGTCAGTAAGAAATCGGCCCTAAATGATATATCTTTATTCTACATCTTTTTAATTAAAAGTTCATTTCAAAGATTCAAATTTTTATGATAGTTCAATAAAACAGTTTTTTTGACATTTTCAGCTTTTACATTTTTGAACGAGAGTTTAAAATCGCATTTTTGAGCCAGAGTTTAAAATCGCATTTTTGGTTTTTCTTGTGTTTAAAACAATCAGAGGAAATCCAGATTTGCTATATATAGTGAATAATTAATTTAAGAAGAGAAAATAAGAAATCTGTAAAATATGTTAAAGAGATTGTAGACGAAATTTGAAGTGATCCTTCAGTTATAGTGTGACGTGTCCGATTCCCAGTGGTACCCATTAAACCTTTTATCTGAACAACAGTGAGGAAGATATCTTCATAATTATATCTTCACAATTTCCGTCTTTTTCACCTTCAGAGAACTCGAAATTAAAAATAATCTATTTTAATCTATAAAAAGTGTCCCTTTAAACACATACAATCTGTACTTCAGGTTTGTATCCGTTCAGAACAGGGATGCAGAGAGGAAGTATCGGACCTTTCCGTCCTACAGGTTTACCTACACCCTTCCCTACTCTACCAGAGATACTGAGAAACCAGGGATATTCAACACATCTGGTAGGCAAGTATACCTCAGACAGCATATAAATCAATTAATCAATATAAACTAACAGCTCAAAAGACATAAATTCTTAAAGGGAGTGTTCGCGAAAAATGAAAGGGGGAATAGGCTTAATGCGATAAAAAAGCGCTTTTGATCGCTAATAATCTTACTTCTATCTATTGCGTCTATAAGGAGAAAATTGGTAAAGACGTCTCATACCGAATAACTTAGCGCCCATACAAATTCAGAAAATTGCAACATACAACTTAGACCGTAAAAAATCAATTTAATTTCCAACAAATCATTCAGATATTACAACCTATAGTCATCGATTATCTTTCGCCACATTTGTATAAAGTTTATATTTTATAATATTTCCTTTTTTTAAAAAACGTTTTAACGGATTTTGAAAAATGTGAGTGGTGCGCGGCATTCTTAGATAGTTGCGCAAGCGACAAGAGAAATAATCAAATTCAAAACAAATTAATTAAAAAATATCATAAAATATAAACTATATACAAATGTGGCGAAAGATAATCGATGACTATGGTTGTAATATCTGAATGATTTGTTTGAAATTAAATTGATTTTTTTACGGTCTAAGTCATATGTTGCAATTTTCTGAATTTGTATGGGCGCTAAGTTATTCGTTATGAGACGTCTTTACCAATTTTCTCCTTATAGACGCAGCAGATAGAAGTAAGATTATTAGCGATCAAAAGCGTTTTTTTATCGCATTAAGCGTATACCCCCTTTCATTTTTCGCGAACACTCCCTTTAAGTGTCAGGTTTATGTCTTCAAAAAGCACCATACCCTCAATTAAAATCAAACCATAGACATCTAGGACTACAGCAGAGTATTAAATAGATTTTACAAAAATGTAACATTGTTAATTCTCCGGATATCGTAACTTTTGACTGGAGTATAGTTGATTTTAACGCTAGATCTGATTTGAGGATCAACGCTTGATCCCTCCATTTTAGTTATCCCTGCAGGGTATAAACATTGACTTATAGTATACGGTATTTTGAAGAGGAATTAGATTAATCCGTAGGTCTGATTAAGATGGAGATAAATGCAACATCCCAAGATTCACAATACTGGTTTTAGTGCACTAAATCTTGAAAATTACTGTTAATTCCACCAAACCCCTTATAGTATTTTATTGTATTTAATGTATTTTGCTATTTTTTTCTGGAACTTTGTTTCTAGCAAGCATGAATCATGAAGCCACCTGGAAACTTGTTTTGTGTAACAATTTATTCTTGTTGTTTAGGTAAATGGCATCTAGGATACTGTAATGAGAACTATCTCCCTACCAGGTAAATGGCATCTCGGATAATGTAATGAGAGCTATCTACCTACCAGGTAAATGGCATCTCGGATACTGTAATGAGAACTATCTACCTACAAGGTAAATGGCATCTAGGATACTGTGATGAGAACTATCTTCCTACCAGGTAAATGGTATCTAGGATACTGTAACGAGAACTATCTACCTACCAGGTAAATGGTATCTAGGATACTGTAATGAGAACTATCTACCTACCAGGTAAATGGTATCTAGGATACTGTAATGAAAACTATCTTCCTACCAGGTAAATGGTATCTAGGATACTGTAATGAGAACTATCTACCTACCAGGTAAATGGTATCTAGGATACTATAATGAGAACTATCTTCCTACCAGGTAAATGGTATCTAGGATACTGTATGGAAAACTATCCACCCACTAGGTAAAGCTTGTATCGTTCATGATTATTGTAAAACGGAGTTTCGTCTTCGTGTGGTCTATATAACAAAACTATTGTTGGCCAAACGGCTGGACCGAATTGGCTGAACTTTTTTTGCGAAAACCCATGGTACCCTGGGGGTTACAAAGCTGCTAAAAAAGTTCGATTTTTAAAATTCGATTTTTATTAATTCCACGGGCAACGCCAGGAACTTCATCTAGTTATTTTTATATCAATTTTTATTACTGTATGCACATTTATAATGCATGCAAAACAAAACAAACTATTTTGTGAAGTACCAAAAAAAACTTGGATGATTTGTTTTTGTTAAATCCACATTATTTAACAAATATATTTTTACAGAAGAGGTTTTGATTCATTTTTCGGAGAATACGCTCAACAAGCCGATCATTATACTAGAGAACATGAGGTAAATATGTGCATTCCTTTATAATAAAGCTCTTTACTCATGTATATATTTATATGTCAGCTATAGCTGGCCAATCAGCTGGACCGAATGGGCTGATTTTTTTAGAAAACCCCTGAGTACCTGGAAAGTAACATAGACTTTAAAAATATCTTAATTCTATTTTTTTTAATTCAACGGGCAACGCCGGGCACTCCACCTAATTACTTTATAAAAATCTGGTTTTTTGGTATGCAACAAATTTCATTGAATCTCGCTAATGTTAATTTTTTTCTACCGATTTAAATATGAAAGATTTTATTGAATCCCGCCAGTTTTTCAATGGTTGTACATTGTACAGTGTACATCTACTATTTCGATAAACATCATAGTTAGAATTTGAACCCAATCATAAAGGCAACAATATTAACTTGTCCGTCCTATATTTTTCTCTTAAAAACACTAAAAACAAATTCTTAAGCAAATTTTCTATTTAATATTTTGAATCCTTCCTCTCACATTAGTTTTACGAGTTTACGTCCTCGGGTTTATCATTGAATCCCCCCAGGGTTTAAAGTTCAATTGATTCTAATTTGATTGAGAGTAAATGATACATTCATACCGTTTGAATCCAATAAACGATGATTTGTCCACATGTTTGCTTGGGCTCTCCCAAGGAAGGTTTAAGGAAGATCCGATTTTAAATGTTTTGAATCCACAAAGAAAACAGGAAACTCTCCGAAATCTTAAATTGTTATTTTTTAATAGTGTATGATGAAAAAGTGGTTGAAGGTAAGGTATTATTGGAACATTGGGTCTAATAAAACTTAACCAATGCCAAATATATTAAAATCTTAATTAAAACATTCAAATCTCTTATTCATTAGAACATTTAAAAATTTGATTTTTAATCTAGCCTTTGGCAATTAAATTAATTTTCAGGTGAATCGTCATATAGGAACTGGATATGATCTTCGCAGAGGAGAGAATGTCAGGTAAAAATGTTTTAATAAGTAATTAAGAGGAACGTGGACGTGATACAGATGGAGACACGTGACAATGAAACTGCACTGCCATTGGTGGAAGTTTTGGACACGTGATAAAGACGTATCTTATCAATTATATTATCAATTATAACTATTAACAAAAAATTATTAAATTCAAGTTATAATAGGAGCGTACCTAAGCTGTTTAGGCTCCTTTGGGTTATCTTAATTTTCAGATTGGTTGCGTATTTGCTGAATTTGATCTGTTTAAAACTTTGATTTACATACCAGATCTCATATTATAAGTTTTGGTATAACGTTGACACAGTTTATATCAATTTCTCAAAACACGGACACCAGATAGGGCTCTTGTACGTCGTGATCAACTCCTAAAATGTTTAGGTTTCAGCCAATACCCTTTCATTTTTCCTTAACAGTTCTTTTAAGAGTTTAGATAGAAAGTTTTGCTCTAATTGATCTTTTGATTTGTTGTATAGCTATGAGAACCTTGGATTGTACAGCACATTTCTTTGGGAAGAGGAAACTATTAATATATTAGGTAAAAAATATATTTATTCCCATTAGTCATTAATTATTAGTTTTTCTATTTCTTCTGAAATAATACGTTTAACCCTTAGATAAGGCTTCGACTTCAGATCCTTGGTTTCTTGAAGTTTCTCTGACAGCTGCTCATCCTCCCTACCAGGCCCCTGACAAATATATTAGTAAGTATATATCCTCCCTACCAGGCCCCTGACAAATATATTAGTAAGTATATATTCACCCTATACCAGGTCCCTGACAAATATATTAGTAAGCTTATATCCACCTTACCATGCCCCTGACAAATATATTAGTAAGTATATATCCACCTTACCAGACCCCTGACAAATATATTAGTAAGTATATAACCACCTTACCAGACCCCTGACAAATATATTAGTAAGTATATATCCTCCCTACCAGTATATTATATTATATTAGAAAGTATATTCACCCTGAAAATATTTTACCCTATCCGAGTTCAGAACTTTTAAAATATTAAACCCTTTCTGGTCGGACTTATTCAGCTTATTTCTTTCATCAGTATTTTTTTATGAACTTAATCGCCACAATTTAAAAGTTTCTAATGTGGACATTGAATAGAGGCATTGCAGTTTTGTGCAATCTCAAATAAAAGGTCTGACCCCTGGCTCCAACAAATATAAAACTTTTAATCCTTTTTTTTAAAGAAATGTACGAGAGGAAGAATAGAAGAAAAAAGCAGAAAAATAATCGGTCTGATCAGGACAATATCAGGTAAAACAATCGGTCTGATCAGGAGAATATCAGGTAAATCAATCAGTCTGATCAGGAGGAATATCAGATTAAACAATAGGTCTGGTCAGGACAATATCAGCTAATAATAATAAATTCATCGACAGATTAGACATCCAACTTTTACAAAAAAAAACGTTACTCAAAACAACACCTGGTAGATTTCTTTCTTCCTCTGGTTCTTTGTTTAAATACATAAAAAAATTTTTTGAGATCTAAATATTTATTGTCTTATTATTTAAATTGTACAACATAGTTTACATGTATTCAATAATAACGACAAATTCGTTTACATTTCTGAGAGATTTGTATAAGGATTAAATACATACATTTCGTAAATTAAAAATTTTCCAATCAAGGATACTTGGATCTTGCAAAACATATAAATTGGAGAGTACACCAGTGAAGTAGTAAAACATTAAAAGCATATAATAAGTCATTGACGATAAGAGGGTATGCGGATTGAATAGAAATTTTTAATATAAGAACTGTTTTCATGTGATTTGGGCAATTTGTGTAGAAATCAGTTTGCGCAAACAATTTACAATTTTCATGAAACATTGGTATAAGGTCGATGTACACTATATGGAGAGTACAACGATTGTACTAACGAAGAACATTGAGGGTTCTACGTTGGTATGGCATTATATTAGTTAAACTATGTCGTCTTGATGCTATTTAGCCAACGTAAAGATAGAAAACTATATATTTAAGATACATACTTTGTTATTTTTTAAAGAGTTTTTTATCTGATATTCTTGTGTTGCTAAAAGAATAAATTAGCTTACATGAGAATTCTACTACTCGATCCCTTTTTTGTTGTTGGCTAACCTTATTTATCAATCTTGAATAGGAAAGCTATGATAACTGCTATAGATGACAGTGTTGGAAGAATAATAGACAAACTCAAATCAACAGGTTCGTTCAAAACAAATTAAATACAAAATTTTACTCTGGGGTTGAGGTTTAATTTCTCCATAGTTTATTATCATCTCAAGGGTTGGTTTAGAATACTCCATAGTTTATTATCATCTCAAGGGTTGGTTTAGAATACTCCATAATTTAATATTATCTCAGGGGTTGGTCTAGAATACTCTAGATGGGTCTACTCCTTAGTTTGATATTATCTCCAGGGTTGGACGAGAATACTCTGGTTGTGTTCAGCTCCGATAACGGCTCCGGGCACTCCGATGCCAACGGAAGCCTGAGAGGAAAGAAAGGTTACGTGTTTGAGGGAGGGGTTCGTGTTCCAGCATTTATCCAGGGAACACCTCTACTACACCAGATGTTGGTTACACCTGGGTATTCAAGCTCAGCACTAGGTTTCCAATATTTATATAAAATCAAACGAATCACATCAGGCCAATAACAAAAACTTTACTCCGATTTAATTTTACGAATAAAATTTGTTTCCATCAGTATAAAAATATTAAAAGATGTTTAGTTCATATTGTGGATTGGTTCCCAACCCTGCTCAGATTATCTGGAGAGAAACTGTCCAACCTAGAAACTGATGGAGTTGATATCTGGGAACCATTAACGACAGGAGAGATATCCCAGAGAGAAATATTAGGTTTGTCTTAGTAAACGAAACTGAAAATAATTAATTATTTGGAATATGTTAACAACATTTATTTTTTTAGTTTATAATTTGGACCTGGATGATCAAAGCAAAACCTTTCAGTTTGCGGTTAGAAAAAATAACTGGAAGCTGATTTGGGGACAAACAAAGGAATATTTTCCCAATTTAAGAATTATGACATTTTTTCTTTATACTTTACACTTTATACTTTATACTCCGGAGCAAGGTTGTAAACAACTTTAGTCCCTATACTCGTAAAAGATAGTTTTCTTCAGAGAGAAAGAAAAGGAAGAGTTAAAGCTTATCTCATAATTTCATAGATGTACACAACAATCCACCCTATTAATTAATTAATAGGGTGGTCGCCAAGATACGTAAACAATGTACATAACGGACCATTCTATTAATTAATTAATATGATGGTCGCCAAGATACGTGAACAATGTAAACAATCGACCATCCTATTAATTAATTAATAGGATGGTCGCCAAGATACGTGAACAATGTAAACAATCGACCATCCTATTAATTAATTAATAGGGTGGTCGCCAAGATACGTAAACAATGTACATAACGGACCATCCTATTAATTAATCAATATGATGGTCGCCAAGAAACGTACACAAGGTACACAATCGACCATTCTTTTAATTAATTAATAGGGTGGTCGCCAAGATACGTAAACAATAAACACAATCGACCATCCTTTTAATTAATTAATAGGGTGGTCCGTTGTGTACATCTGATGGAATTATGAGATACGCTTTAACTCTTCCTTTTCTTTCTCTATAGTTTTCTTAATGGTTACTCAACTGTATTTCCACTGATATAAAGGACATAAAGGACTTTAAGGACTTTAAGGACTTTAAGGATATAAAGGACAAAAAGGACAAAAAGGACAAAAAGGACAAAAATGACAAAACGGACGAAAAGGACATAAAAGACATAAAGGACATAAAGGACATAAAGGACATAAAGGACATAAAGGACATAAAGGACATAAAGGAAATAAAGGACATAAATGATTTGAGGGACATAAAGTACATAAAGAATATAAAGGACATAAAGGACATCAATGACTTAAGGGACATAAGAACATAAAGGACATAAAGGACATAAAGGACATAATGGACATAAAGAATATAAAGGACATAAAGGACATAAATGACTTAAGGGACATAAAGAACATAAGGGGCATAAAGGACATAAAGGACATACAGGACATAAAGGACATAAAGGAAATAAAGGACATAAATTAATTGAGGGACATAAAGTACAAAAAAAATGACATAAAGGACATCAATGACTTAAGGGACATAAAGAACATAAAGGACATAAAGGACATAAAGACATAAAGAACATAAAGGACATAAAGGGCAGAAAGAACATAAAGGACATAAAGGACAGAAATGACATAAAGGACAGAAAGGACAGAAAGGACAGAAAGGACAGAAAGCCGACTTTTTCCAGAAAAATTTCTGATATAAAAATGCAACTCAACTTACATGTGGAATCTTTGAAGAGTGGGATGTCCTATTCACAACGGTACCCTAAAGTACCTAAAAGCTATATCAGATCAAGAACAAATGAGATATTCATGTTTTCTCTTTAAAAAATTGGTTATTTTAAATTGTGGTTTATCTGTAACAGTGACTCAGACTTTCGCATTTCTTGGTAAAAAAGCAATGTAAGAACTGAACACTTTTCAAGCTCGAAAAACGACGATATCCTCCACATTTTGGATCAGATAAAGGTGTAAAGTTGTGAATAGGACCTGGCACTCTTTAAATGGAGTTTCACAATGACTTTTATTTCAACATATTCCTCGGCCTCCTAATACTCTCAATATTTCACCAAGAACAATTTGGAAGATATTGTACTCAGGAGTTTAAACCTCACAAGAAAGAAAAAAATGAGTTGTTTCTCTTCAACCTGGCCAGGGACCCGAACGAGACTGAAAACCTAGCGGAGAGCGAACCATCTATAGTTCAAGAATTGAAAAAAATTGTGAAAAATCTTACCAAGGTGAGTTTTTTAAAATCATTTAATAGTGTTTTTTCATAAATATTTTACTTTTTTTACCATTCACAATCATACAATTTTACATTATAAGATATACCGTTAGATATAATGTAATATAGAAATATAGAAGTTGATAATAAAAAAATACCTCATGTCCCTTTTTCAGGAGACACGAACTGCTTTTCACCCGAATAGATTTAATCTTGGGTTCCCTAAGTACCATGAAGGTTTACTATCTCCAGGTTGGTGTGGAACTGGATGGTGGAAAATATTGTGGAACTCTGAATCTACCTCTTTGGGGAGATTCGTCCAAGCTTTATGATAAACTCTTTTCTTTAAAATATATTTTAAACTCTATTCATTGTTCTTCATTACAACACTCGTTATACTCTACGCAGTTTATTTTCTTTATCGTACTACTTTTATTCGTCCGACCTTTCCTCTACGCAGTTTATTTTCTTTATCTTACTCCTTTTATTCGTGCGACCTTTTCCTCTACGCAGTTTATTTTCTTTAATCTACTCCTTCTATTCGTCCGACCTTCCTCTACGCAGTTTATTTTCTTTAATCTACTCCTTTTATTCGTCCGACCTTTCCTCTACGCAGTTTATTTTCTTTGTCCTACTCCTTTTATTCGTCCGACCTCTACGCAGTTTATTTTCTTTAATCTACTCCTTTTATTCGTCCGACCTTTATGATTCATTTTACTTTTAATTCTATAATTCTTAGCCAATTATTTTCTTCTCCTTCTTTCCTTCTTTCCCCATTCTTCACACATTCCCTCTCTTTCATCCCGTTTTCTCCACTCTCCTCTTTTCTGCTCTTTACTCAAACTCTTCCCTCCCTCATCTTCTACTCCTTCGCTCTTCTTTAAACCCTTTACTAGCTCATTAGAACTAGAAAGTGTGTTGTTTGTTTTCAGAATGTTTATTGATTATTTTTGTAAATACATGTTTCTCATTATATAATTCCTGATTAAAAACCTTAAAAGGTTGGATTTTATGAAATGGAGAAGTAGATGAACTAGGTTTTGCTAGATGAACTAATTCTCTATACCACTGTTGGCCACAATAAAAATTAGTTTAACTATTTTTACCTAGTTCAACCACTCCTCTATATTCCTAAACTTCAACCTATAGTTTAACAAACTATTGAAAAACTGAAATTGAAAAAACTAAAATTGAAAAACTGAAATGGAAAAACTGGAATTGAAAAACTGAAATTGAAAAAATGAAATTGAAAAACTGAAATTGAAAAACTGAAATTGAAAAACTGAAATTGTAAAACTGAAATTGAAAAAATGAAAAACAGGAAAAAATCAAAAATTAAAAAAGACTCGTTAAAAGATTTATCAGGAGAACTATAGAGATATTATTACGATCCTGATATCTAGATATAATTAGCACAGATCATAATATACTAGTTTAACTGATCAGGGCGATCTGTTGTGGATTAACAACCCTGCCGACCAGAATAGGAATATTGTTTACTTTATCAAAAACCAGGAACATGAACGGACGGTCTGCGATAAACTCAACCCTGTCTCCAAAATTAGCTGAGAGTGGAACTATATTAATAGCTGTAGATGCAGCACCCTCAGTACCCTCGTAGTCAACATTAACAAGAGCTTTATGAACAACCTTGTCAACTTTTAGGTTCTTAGATTTCACCATTTCTCCCAACTCACTCTCAGCTAAAAAAAATATTTATACATAAATACTTATATACCACCACAAGTCTAAAGGAATTGAGTCTTTGTCACAAACTATGATTTTCTAATCTCTATATCTTTGTAATCCAATGCCGTCAATATTTCAAACTATGAAAATCTAAGTTTGAAATATCAAAGGTTTACACCATCAGGTGGAACAAATATAGGTATTAGCAAATCAGAGTTTGTTATAAAGACTCAATTCCTTTGTACAATAAAAGAATAATTGATATATATAAAAACTACTTCTATAAGCCCTTTAAAAAACATATTCAGGGTTACCCACAAAGGATGAGACCTATGGATAGTCATATTAAATGAGTTTCAGGTCTTCTTTACAGTCTCATCCTTGTGGGTAACTCTGGTTTTTTAATGAAAAAGAGAATAGAATAAACCATGATTGAATTTTATATTCTATTTACAGAGAAATATCAAAGATAAATAGTTCCCATTGATCATCAGTTGGTAATGATTCATGCTTAGTTTACTACTTTCAGTTAAATAAATAAATTTTAGATCAATTTAAAGGATCAAAATATGATTGAAAAAAGAATTAAGATAAGATTGTACAAACTGACCCCCACCCATACACAAAAATAATCTTGTTAAACCACAATTGATCAAATATTCTATTCATTCTTAACTTTTCAAACCCCCATCCTATTCATCTTCATTTTTCATTTAATAAAATCTTTATGGTTCAAAACCATGGATTGCAAATCCCCGTGCATTATTCTGATTAAAGAAATATGGAGAATTCCAAAATGTTTAAATTAAAGGTTTCAGAAACTTTTTCTATTGATCAATCTTTATGTGATGAACTTACTCTTAATTTTTTTGGACAACCCTTCCAACAAAGGAATTGAGTCTTTGCCAAAAACTCTAATTTTCGAATCCCAATATCTTTGTAACCCAATCTAGGATACCTATGATATTTCAAACTATGAATTAAATTAGAATAAATAATATAAGTTTGAAATATCAAAGGTCTAATACAATACATTCCAAAGATATGGCGATTAAAAACTTTTAGTCTGTGGCAAAGACTCAATTCCTTTTAACTTTACCTGAAAAAACTTGTTTTACATTTAATTTCTTCAAAACCTGCGATGCATCAATATCGGTTTCAATATTAAACTTTGGCATTTTTATGCGAACTTCAGCGAAATTTCGTCTCGTTGTATCCTAAACAAATAAAAAATAAAGATTCATTAAAATGAAATGTTTTCCCAAGTTTACCCTTTATCTGAGCAACTATGAAGAAGATATCATCTTTAAAAGGGTTGAATTTTGTAATTTTCTTTCTTTGTCTCTTTAACAGAGAAACTACAACTAAAATGATCAATTTTCAGATAGAAAATCAACAATATTCTCATCATTTTTGCGGTTTAAAGGGTAACTTTGTAAATTTGGCATACACCAACTAGGTAACTTAAATCATTTGACAGTCCTTTTAAGATTGTACCTTCTTTTAAGAATTTGCAGAATTATGAGAAAAATCGCAAAAACTATTTTGAAAAATTAAAAATGTTTAGTAGAATATACAATATGCATGTAAGACATTTAGTAAGATATTTTGTAAAATATGTTTTTTTAAAAGCCTCTACATTTTGGCACTTAGAATAACGTTTCTTTAAGTTAGACTAAGTTATGTTAACCTTACTCCAAAAACAAGTCTTTTTATGAATATCTAAATTAGTGAAAAAGTTGACAACTCGTTAATGATCAATAAAATGTCAACTTTACCTTGGCGGATTTAAAAAGACGGAATCCTCCTCCTCTTTTCTCGTTTATACTTTGATAAATACTGTCATCTAAAATTAATCCTAGCTTTACAGCTGCTACTTATAATTTATTTGAAAAAGTCATTCTTTAGTTTTAGAGAAAAAAATATTGCAAAGCATGATTTAAGAATTAAAGTGATGTCGCTAGAATTACCTAAATATTTCTCCATGAGGCCCAAATCTATTTTTTCATTTGGAAGAATAACTTGCATTTCAAAATCTGAATTGTTTTCATAATTTGAAAATGTTTAATTAGACTGTTACTTAAACATCTTAACCCAGTCTACAGTCTACGGTCTACAGTCTACAGTCTACAGTCTACAGTCTACAGTCTACAGTCTACAGTCTACAGTCTACAGTCTACAGTCTAAGTTTCTGCATTCTTATGAAAACTATCGAGGAGCTATGAGGTAATAAAGTCGTGTCATTGATTTTTGTTGAATCTACTTGACCTTTTCCATCTGTCCAGTTGAGTCTGCGGCCCAAATGGTTTTAGATTAAAGTTTTATTTGTTTCTTAGATTTATTAATATTACTTAAAAAGCCCATAAGCAGCATGAGTTCCAAATCTCTCCATCATATTTACATCTATCGGCTTCGTTTCATTTGTCCTGAAGAACTCACGTTTATCCGCCTCTCGGAACTTCAAGGTCCAAGCCTCCTTGATGTAGAGAGCATTTGTTATCAGAACTTGGGTCTCAGACGGCAGATCGGAGAGAACTTGGGGAATCTTGTTCCGGGTTAGTTTTGCAACCCAATCATTGACAGCGTTCAGAGAGCTCTGATCTGCCATGTTGAGAGATGATATTTGAGCATCTAAACTTTTGATTTTTTCCTTGTATTTATCTTGTAGTTCAACATTATTGTTTACCCAGATATGGTTCCCGTAAGCCAGATGGTCAGGGTCGGAATTATTTAAAATATTCCTAAAAAGTTCTGAATATTCAATTGAGGAACATAAGTAATTATTTCCATGTCTTTAAATAGTTTGGAGCTATTAACATTGCATCGGTTTCTCAGACCTTTGTTTATATAATTTGTAAACAAGAAATTAATTAACCAAATAAGAGTTCTCTAAAGAGATTTAAACTTTCCTAGAGAACGCTTTTTACACCCTCCCCCCCCTTTATCAATTTTTAAATACATCTCATATGTAACACATGGACATAGTTGGACATGTGGCCGCAGAGCCCGGCCCCCTTAGCCGATCCCAGCCACGGTGCTCGGCCCCTAGCTTAGCCTAGCCGCAGCTGTCGGCCCTGGCCTATCCTAACCGCAGAACTTGGCCCAGAAATTGCCTTAACCTAACCTAATCGATGTTATGTACATAAGAGATTAGATGGGGGGAAGGCTGGGGCTAAAAAACGTTCACTGCACAGACACAAGAACTAAGGACTGATATGGAATAATTGTTGCATTGATTGAATATTAACGTTCCTATAAGCCTCCATTAGTCTCGAGGTATTGGTGATTCCTCCTAGAGCGGATAATGTCTCCGTCCTAGTGGTGGAGTTCTCTGTAGAGCCTAGAGCCATCAAACTCAGGGCCGAGTGTAAACTACTCACGTATTAAACTTAGATGCGGATACAAAACTGTTTGCATATTTGCTGTACTTTATATCGTGTTGAAAAGACACTAACTAATCATAATCTTCATATAGACCCATTCCAAATCATAATCTTCATATAGACCCATTCCAAATCATAATCTTCATATAAACCCATTCCAAATCATAATCTTCATATAAACCCATACCAAATCATAATCTTCATATAAACCCATTCCAAATCATAATCTTCATATAAACCCATACCAAATCATAATCTTCATATAAACCCATACAAAATCATAATCTTCATATAGACCCATACCAAATCTCTCCCCTTAGGCTTTTCTTGTTGCTTTATTAAGTTGTAATTTCCTGAGAGGAGAGAACACAAAATTACCAGTCTCTCTTTTACTCAGCTCCACGTAGAATCTTTCACTGAAAATAATAATATCTTAATTCCACGTAGAATCTTAATATACAGGGTTACCCACAAAGGATGAGACTTCAGAAAATTACTGTACGGAATTCATTTAGTCAGTTTTCTTAGAATTGAAAATTGTTATGCTGTCTTTGCTTTGGATTTGATTTCAAGAAAAGCCATGGCCCGTAAAATTAAAGCAAAGGAATTGACTTTTTGCCACAAACCCAATTTTTCTAATTCCTTTATCTGTGGTACCTGATAGTGCAGACCTTTGATTTTTCAAACTTTGAGTATTTGATCTTACAGAATTTATAGTTTGAAAAATAAAAGATCTTTTACATTGGTTGCAAAGATAAGAAATTCAGGGTTTGTGGCAGAGACTCAATTTCTTTCATGTTAGAATCAAATAGAGTATCAATTCAGGTTTTCATGCGCAAAAACTTGTTATTCAATTTCAGGAAAGTTTGGACAAAGGAATTGAGTTTTTGCCACAAACTGATTTTCTAATTCCTATATCTATGCAATCCAATGTTGTAGACCTTAGATATTTAAAACTATGAACTATGTTAGACCAAATAATCTAAGTTTGGAAGGTTTATACTATCAGGTTGCAAAGATATAGGGATTGGAAAATTTTAGTGAAAAATTTAGTTTGGGTTAAAAACTCAGTTGCTTTGGTTTAATATTGATTTGACTAGCAATAAAATATAGGTTTATATTTTTATTATCAAAAACATTTGTATTATTCTTCTGATTTGCATTACAGTGGCACTGTATATATATATATAACAAATAAATTGTATGTTTCTGCATTCTTATGAAAACTATCGAGGAGCTATGAGGTAATAAAGTCGTGTCATTGATTTTTGTTGAATCTACTTGACCTTTTCCATCTGTCCAGTTGAGTCTGCGGCCCAAATGGTTTTAGATTAAAGTTTTATTTGTTTCTTAGATAAAAGTTTGAAAGATACTCAGAATAGGCCCTAAATATACCATTTTGCCCGGAAGAGTCAAATGTGGTGGCCCGGAAGAGAAAAAAGCTAATATGTGGCACAAAAGGGGAAATAGCGGTGGCTCATGGCCGCCTGCCTTCCCCCGCTCGGATGGTACGGGGTTAGTATATTGGCAATATTTCTTTAAACCAACCTGAAGTCCAACATGGCATTGGATAAGGCTTCTATGACCTTTTTTTCTTCATTTTTCGGGTTCGGGTTTACCAATGGAAGTTCGATCCCCGAGGCACCAGTTCCAATTTCAGCAGGTTCAGTATTAGGTTTGAAGGTTTCGTTTCGTGGCGTTGGTTTTCCGGATACTGGACCTTGAGTAGTACTAGGACCTGGAGTAGAACTAGGACTTGGAGTAGAACTAACCTGAAAATAGAAGAAAACTAAAAATTCAGGATTTTAAATTTAGATACAAAATACTTAGATAATCTATTTACATCAAAAATAATATGAAAAGCGTAAAAGGACTGTAAGTTAAATTCAATGTGACCATTAATGCAAAGATGGAAAAAACTTTTTTGAGTCAGAAAAAAAACGAATATATCTTCCACATTTTGATTAGATTAAGGTTTCAAGGGTACAGTTGTAAATCGAGCATTGCCATCTTTACCTGGTCCATCACTTGAAACTTTTTGGAAATTTATTGTGTTTTATCAAAAATTTTATTCCATTCTTACGTTTAGTAAACTTTACGAGATTTCCTAAAACATCCATGCTGGGTTCGATCTGACCCAGGGATTTGAAAAGGAAAATGTAATCCTTAGGACCACAAAACTGCTGGATCCAGGGATTGAAATACAAGTTGAAACCAGGGAATATTTTAGAAGTTGTCTCATAGTTACAAGTTAAGAAATCCAAAGTTAGACTTCGAAAACTTTCATTTTACTTTTTGCTGTTTGCGACTTAAAAAAATATGTTGAATACCTGGCCAGGGACTTGTTGAGCTACTGCTAATTGTATTAAAATATTAAACAACCATAACTTAAACATTTTAATCATTCTGAAATAATATTTTATAAATTAAATTATCATGATTATACTATGGTTATCACTTTATTATTATATCTAATTTCATTATTTTATTATTTTTAAATATTATCAATATCAATATCAATATCAATATCAATATCAATATCAATATCAAAATCAAAATCAATATCAAAATCAATATCAAAATCAATATCAATATCAATATCAAAATCAATATCGATATCAATATCAATATCAATATCAATATAAATATCAATATCAAAATCAATATCAATATCAATATCAAAATCAATATCAATATCAAAATCAATATCAATGTGATGTACCCTAAGAGATCTGATCTCCACATTGCCTGTGATAGTACTGCAGGTTTCCAGTGGTTCCAGTGTCTGGTTGAGAGAATCTTGGAAAACTTGAAACTTGGTTTAGTAACGGGGAATCACATTTTGAAAACTAGATAAATTACTCAGAATTCACGCAACAAATATAACAGGGGAGGTTATACAGCCTTTATTCACAACAAAAATTAAACAAGAATAAAGAAAGTTGAAGATGATGTATAACAGAGCCCAGTGAATCCAGTCACATCTTGTTTTCCAACCCTCCCGGACCGGGGCCAACAATCCAGCTCTTTCTTTGAATACCAGTTTTAGATCTATACATGTGTATAGGTGTGTAGGTGGAAGAACGGTTCTGCTTGGTTTCACTGACATCAAGTGTGTGCGCAGTTTATAAATATATCTATATCTAATCTATATAATAAAGTTTTTCGCTTATCTATATGTATATAAATATATATATGTATAGCTGGCCAAACGGCTGAACCAAATTGGCTGAATATTTTAAGGGAACCTTTGAGTTCCCCGGGAGTAACAAAGACGAAATTATTATTTTTTTCTTCAAAATTCAAAAGTTTTTCTGAAATTCCAGGGGCAACGCCGTGCACGCCCCCCCCCCCCCCCGGGCATCCTAATCGAGCAAAACAAATATTATAAGCAAAGTAGTAAAATTGTTAATATTTTCATATTTTTATTCGTCCAGAATCCCCTTTCTACGTCCTACCTACCAGTCCTTTCGTCCAGGATCCCTCTCCGCCCTTGCTTCCGTCTTTCGTCCAGGATCCCTCTCTCCGCCCTTCCTACCTGTCCTTTCGTCGAGGATCCCCTCTCTCCGCCCTTCCTACATGTTCTTTCGTCCAGGATCCCCCCGTCTCCGTCCTGTACCTACCCGAACATTAGAACAGAATGCCCCCGTCTCCGTCCTACCTACCCGCACATTAGTCCAGAATCCTCCCGTCTCCGTCCTACCTACCCGCACATTAGTATGTTACGCAAAAACTAGTTCTCCAGCAGCCCAAATACGTCACAGCAAAGTGTACGGAAACCCTATTGCCCCCTCCTTGTATTCAATTCTCCTTGAAACTAACCAAGTTATGATTTTACCGCCTTTTTAAAAACATAACCGACTTATGATTCCCCATCACAGGGACGTTAAGTTATGTTACGTCCCTTGAGACAATAAAGTAGAATAACGACCTGCTCTGCGAGGTTTTCGTTAAAACATTCGAGCATTTTCATTTTAAAAGACGATAAAATATTGTTTAACTACTTTTTCGGAAAATTACAAATTTTTACTAAATTCCTTGTAAAGTAGTTGTAAATAATTATTAATAATACAATAAAACATAAAATATAATCTAATAAGCTTATTTTCAAGCATCAAATTAATATGAGATTGTTTCAATGTAATCTTCTTGTTCCACAGACTTCAAAGACGACTTTACAAAATTTATACTTTTTCCTTTTATTCATGATTACCTGTAACTATAAACGGCCGAACGGCCGGACTGATCGGGTTCCCGTTTTTTGATCCGAGGAAAGGTCTATGGTGAGCCTAATTTGACAAATGAGGAATTGAAGAGCAAAAGCTAAAAGTAAAATTTGTTATTGTAAAAGGTCAAGTATGTTATATTTTGCGTGACCATATTATGCGTTTTCTCCTGGCAATCATGAATAAAACGTGAATTTGTCCAGACAGGTTTGCTTTCTCCGATCTCTCAACTATCACATGCACCCAGAGAATGCATCCTAGTCACGTAGGACAGTGAGATAGGATTCCAGTATGAGAAACTTTTAATGCAAGATTTTAATAAAAGAGAGAGTTAACGAAATAAGGAAAGATACGATATCAATTGCTGTAGATTAGTAAGAACTAGTAAGGATTGATATGGGTTAGGAAAGATTAGTTTAAATTAGCAGAGCTGAAAACTTTAGAATGAAATATCCAGAGAAGCTCATAATTTCTTGATATCCAGATTAAATATTGCTTGTTCTCCACATGAATTTAAACTCCAGATTAATTATTCGACGGGATATCTGGATATTTCATTCTAAAGTTTTCAGCTCTGGAGTAATAAAAGATCAATAAGGTTTAGTAAGGATTAGTAAGGGTTAGTATGAGTTGGTAAAGATTAGTAATGATTAATAAGGGTAAGTAAGGCTTAATAAGGATTAGTAAGGATTAATAAGGATTAGTCATGATAGGTAAAGGTTGGTAAGATCAGTAAAACTTATTAAGGATTGATATGGATGGACTAAGGATTAATAAAAATTAATTAGGATTAGTATTGGTTAGTTAGGATTATTAAGGGGTATTGAGGATAAGTATTTTATATGTAGTACAGGCTAAATAGGATTAGTTAGGATTGAAAAGAATTGATAAGGATTTGTAAGAATTAGTGAGGATTAGTAGGGTTAATAAGGATTAGTAAGAATAAGTAATGATAAGTAATATTGGGATTAGATGGATAAGTAAAAATTAAATAGGTTTAAATGGTATTATTAAGGATTAGGGCGGGTAAGTAATGATTCAAAAAATTATTGACAATTAGTTTAGATTAATAAATTAGATCGTGAATTATTAATCTGTTAACTATTTACACTGGATCAGAACTCTCCAAACCTCTCCAAACCTCTCCCGGCCTCCGAACTTCAGTTGTTTTTAATCCATCCTCCGTACAGTTCACTTATCAAGGTCTTGGTTCACCTTGACATCTATCAAGGAGAAGAGCTCCGGGATACACCTGGATACATAGTTATCATGGAACTGGAGTTATTGGGAAGTATACTCGGCAGAATCGGACAAATAGTCTCAGGTTAACGATAATAATGTAACCTTGATATTCTAGTTTATTGATTTTGTCATAAACGTTTTAACACTTTAATTCTTTAAAACCTATATTTCTTTTGAATACTGTCTGTTTGAAGAATCTATGCAAGAAAGTCACAGGAAAAAAAGTTTCTGGAAAAGAACCTAGAAATCAAAACTTTGGTAAAAAAAGTCCCAATTTTCTGAAGTCCTAGGACAAAATGTCCATGGAAATAAAGTCCTGAGTTTTAGATTCCCAAGACTTTTTTCCCTAAAGTAATATGGGGGCTGTCAATGAAGTCTCAGGAAATAAGATTACAGGAATTAAAGTCCTGAAGAAAATAAATCCGAAGAAAAAAAAACCAAGAGATAAAGTCCTAAGTCCTGGGAAAAAGAGGTAAAGTCTGATACGTTTTCATAAAAAGGACTTTTCTTCTATGCATCTTCATATTGAATATAGCCTGAGGTATTTTTAATATCAAGCCTCTTTTTTTGTAAACATTCTTTTGTTCCCCTGCATTTTCTACAATAAGAGGACTTTTTTTCCGGGGACTTTTTGTATAAAATCATACTGGAACTTAAAAAAAGTCCTACAAAATAAAGTCTTAAAATGGTAGGACTTCATTTCCAGAGACTGTTTATGTCAAGGACTTTTTTAGTGCCAAAATTTAGAACTTTAATTCCGAAAACTTTTTTCAAAAAACTTTTTTGGTGGTTATCATGTTTGAGCCAAAGTGATGGTATTTATTATTCACTATGTGTTGGAGCTAGGAAGAGAAATATTGTCCCTTAGCAACAAGCTTATATCGAATATCTCACATACTAACAGTACACAGTATATCGTACATACTAACAGTACACAGTATATCTTACATACTAACAGTACACAGTATATCTTACATACTAACAGTACACAGTATATCTTACATACTAACAGTACACAGTATATCTTACATACTAACAGTACACAGTATATCTCACATACTAACAGTACACAGTATATCTTACATACTAACAGTACACAGTATATCTCACATGATAACAGTACACAGTATATCTTACATACTAACATTACACAGTATATCTTACATACTAACAGTACACAGTATATCTTACATACTAACATTACACAGTATATCTTACATACTAACAGTACACAGTATATCTCACATATAACAGTACACAGTATATTTCACATACTAACAGTACACAGCATATCTCACATACTTACAGTACACAGTATATCTTACATACTAACATTACACAGCATATCTTACATACTAACATTACACAGTATATCTCACATATAACAGTACACAGTATATCTCACATACTAACAGTACACAGTATATCTCGCATACTAACAGTACACAGTATATCTTACATACTAACAGTACACAGTATATCTTAAATACTAACAGTACACAGTATATCTTACATACTAACATTACACAGTATATCTTACATACTAACAGTACACAGTATATCTCACATACTAACAGTACACAGTATATCTCACATACTAACAGTACACAGTATATCTCACATACTAACAGTACACAGTATATTTTACATACAAACAGTACACAGTATATCTCACATCACATACTAACAGTACACAGTATATCTCACATACTAACAGTACACAGTATATCTTACGTTTGACAAGCAAATTATAAATCCCATATTTTAATGCTTGTGGTTAAAAAATTCTTGTAATTTAAATATTTAAAAGTTTTGTCTACACAGAAACTGTACTGCAGTTTTGGGGGATAAGTAAACAACCTCTAGCTCAGTTTCAGTTACAATGTTATTATTTACATTATCTTCGGGAGAAATGTAAAAACTGCAGTACACACACACA